AGGAAAAAGATGAAAGTCAGCTACAGCAAGAGCTATTTAGATGTGCAAAAAGAAAGAGTGTCTGAGTGGGATGAGAATTATATGCTAGATAAGACTGTCTGGGAGACTCTACCCTCTCCATCAGTGGAGATCTTCAAAGAGCAGCCCAAACTGCTGCTGGGCCCAGGAAAAACACAGCTCTCTATGTCCCAGCCCTGGCTTCTGTCTGCAGTTGCCATGGGTGCCCTTGCCTACAGCTGGGGAGAGCCACATGCTGGCTGTGTCTGGGCAGGGACGGGCAGGACCACCGGGCACTCTGGTGGGCTGCCTGCTAGCACACTTTGCCTGTTTTTTCCCAGAGATGCTTCCTTTGCTGGGCTGGGGGAGAGTCCGCGGAGCTGGGTGCCAGGTTGCATGGCAGGATCGTGCCAGTGGGAGCTTCTGGGGCTCATTTGTGCCTGGCTCTGCTGCACGGTGGCAGAGTGAGCATTTACACCACCTGACAGAAGCTCATGGCTTTGGGGATTTCTTTGTATCTGGTGCAAAGCGTTTAAAGGGACGAAGCATTGCCCCTTTCAGCCTGCAACCACCCAACTCTTATATTTCAGGCTGCAATAAAGAAAGAGTAACTTTAACAGGACTTTATTGAACTCATGGTCACTAGTGTGACAGTGACAGTACCTGGTACCACCACCACAGCCATCCCAGTCCCCAGCAGGGCTGTGAGTGTTGCCGTGGGTGATGAGACAGGTTTGCTCAGTTGAGCAGTGTTACTTTGGGAGAGTAATGGGGAAGAAGCTTTGGCCAGGAGAATTGCTTTCATTTGATATAGCACATGAATGGCCAAGTAGGAACAAGGAAGCCAATGGCTAAATGGAGGGCTACATGCCAACTTCATTCATAGATTCTTTAAAACCAGAGAGGACCATTATAATCGTGCTGTCTGGCCTGCAACATGCCACAAGCCTTAGCTCATGACCTAGCAAATTACAAAGGCAGCAGGAAGGAAGGAAAGGCACTAGTCCCCACCTCTGGCTCACTTCTTAGCACCCGCATCACTGTGCTAAGAGACTGATGCTGGCAAAATGGAGTTTGACTTGCCAACAACAGTGGCACTCAACATTTCATTGCACTGCATCCTGCCCTCAAGTGCTCAGGCTTTCTTTTTATCCCAGGGATGCAAAGAAAGCCCAGAATGCATTAGGACAAACACCTGGGGATTTAGTTATGATTTTTAAGAGCTAATGATGCTGCCCACTGTTCAATGTTTATAATAAACTGTCTTCTCCTCCTCTTAACTAAATTGTGTATATACCAGGGAAGAAGCTGTACCCATGGACACCCTGAGCACTTGGCTTGCTGCACAGAGCTGCTCTACTCCATGAACAGGAAAGGTGGACAGAAAGTTAGCTATTTTCATTTGAATGGGGCAGTCTGGGAAGCTCAGGCAAAAGAAAGGGATAAGTATGATCCTGGCCTATAGCCACAGTGGTTTAATACAAACCTGAAGATTGTCAGTCCTCTTGACAGGTGGCTCACAGTTCAGCCTACACAAGGAATATGGATGGTGATTCAATGGTTGCATGGAATTACATTGCTTTCCCTCGGTCTCATGCCAAATATCCAAATATAATACCTAATTGCTTAGCATATGTACATTTCTGCAATACAGGAGAAGAACAGGCATTCTGGGAAGCAGGGGAGCAGCACACAGCCTGCCTTAACTATTACCCGGAAAGGAGCATTTTTTCATTTTTCTAGCCTGTGCTTTTTATTTGTCCTTTAAAAATTATTATTATTTTTAAATTTACATTACCATTTAGCATTAACACTGATGACTGCTTTTTAATGAAGTGTCTATGGCTGAGCGGCCCATCCCTCAGCCTCCGCAGGCCAAGCAGCGCTCTGGGCAGAGCACAGCACAGCACATTCCATCCCCCGGGCTCCAGGCTGTTGTACAAATAAGGAAGCAAACAGTCCAAGTCAGATTGACTTTCAGTGAAGCAGGAATAGCAGGTGGGTAGATGCAGGAAAAGGAAAGATTCGTAGGAAAAGTCTTATATTTAAAACTTCAAAGAGAAAACTTAGAGCAGAACTAGTATAGTGGCAAGAACAGCACTTCAGCTATAAAACAGGTATTTCATAGCAAGAAATACAGTTGCATCCTTCACTGTATATAATGCTTTAAGGGAGTGCCAGAGGAGAGGCTCTACCTCTTGCACAACCATGTCTCCATTTTTCTCCACAGAAGCAAGCTATGAAGTTGAGCTGATCATGTGTGTTGTTGGCAGGGGCCTTACCGAGACCAGCACCCACAGAACTTGCACTCACTCAGTCCCGGGGCAGAGCATCCCTGTGGCAGGCAGGCGGGCTTGGTGGCAGCGCTGAGCAAGCAGAAGTGCCTGCCCACAAAGCGCTGCCCAGCCCAGTGTGATAGGAAAGTTTTCCTTGGAAAAAGGTGGGATTCGGTTCTGTTTCTAAATGGATACCTCCTTTTACTGGAACATGCAGTGAGTCAGGACACTCACACGCAGAAAGCCAACAAACCACCACCAGCTCATCATCACCCTCCTGGTAAAGAAAAGGCAGAGAACACTGGCACATCAGTGCCCAGGTACCGCACCGCCTGCGGTTTGATTCCAGCCATTTGGCTGCAGCGCATGAGGAACTAGACAAGCTGACCAATGTTTAACATTTATCTTCCAGCGCCTGATGTAAAAAATTACAGCTTTTATTATGGTATTTATTTTTTTAGAGGACAACTGTTTCTTTCACACTATAAATTAACAAACTATTCTGAGTAGATTTGTACTATACACGCAAATCTAAACCAGTTGTGAAGATAGTTTAGGTTGGGGTCCTGTTTTTTTTCTGCTTACTCCCACTTCTCAGCTTCATACATTTCTTTCTTCTGGTGTGCTGAAATTGTAAAACAGGGCTACCTGTACTCTTCAGGATCTGGTGCTACAAGGTTCAGGTCTTGAATGGAGCACACGGTGCCACCAGAATAATGCTGCCAAACTGAGAACAAGTTTATTTTTGTATCACACAGATGCTGGTTGTACATTCATGATTATGTTGAAGGAACATAGCTTTTGACTCCCATTAGAACTCAGATGTTTGCATCAAGTGAACCTGGACACAAGCACATCAGTGAGGAGCTGACACATAGAAGCCACTCTGGAAAAGTCTGGAGAAAGATGGGCACTGACATTTTGCAATAGCACTTGAACTCCACCTGTTTAAGAGCAGTTTACCCTTACAAAATATAGCCAGGCCTTCATCTGTATTTTATGAAATAGAAAAAGAGAAAAAAAAAAAAAAATCAAAACCCCAACCAACCTACACTCTTGGCAGCCTGGCATTCTCCCAGGTCTCTGGCCTGGATTCATGAAGATTTTCTAAATGACTGTTTGTTTAATATCTTGCTTGTCCATCACACCTGCTTTGTCTGGTTGCCTTCACTGTTTTGCATTTACTTATTCCCAGACTACAGATCTGCTCTCCCCTTCCCTAGCCAACTACATTTTAGTGCAATAAGCTGCAAGATGATGTTCGGTGAGAAATAAACCTGATGCTATCCCTGCTTGTTCCACTTCGCAGTTCTGAGTTTGCTGAATGCAACAGAGATTTCTTCTTTTGAAAGAAAGTAGCAGCTAAGTACCTTAAACTTAAATCTATTTGGGGAATTTGTAGGAAACTCTAATATTAGAGCTGCCATTTAATTCTCAAGGCAATAAAAAGGACCAAGAGGCCAAGTTGCCTCGATGTCTTTCATGTTGGTTTGTTACACAGTGTGATCTTGTTTTACAAGTGCTCTGTTTACAAGAATGCTTGGGGGGGGGGGGGGGGGGGGGGGGGCAGGGGGGAAGTGTTCATTTAAGTCCCACAATCACATAGGGCTACTTTTGTAAAGGTCTGATCCAGTCCTACCAGCTGCTTGCCCACAAAACTTTGCAATTGTGGAAGCTAATTAAGATTCTTCAGAGGAGCTCTGCTCTCCCCAGCGGTTGCAGGCGGCCTCATTAGACATGCTGTACCTCCCCCTTCGCCCAGCAGAATGTCCCACTGTGCTCGGTTTACATTATCGCTTATGAATTAACCAATTGATTCTGAAAATATCATTACTTTGGGGCTAAATAAAGCTGTTCCCTTTGAGGGGAAAATGTCAGGGCTTCACCTAGGAATAAACTGATACTGTGTTACCTACAAACTCCCTTCTCAACACTGCCAGCAAGGACGCACTTGCCAGGTTACAATGGGTTCAGTACAAAAGGGATTTATCATGGTTTTCTGTGAAGATGGGGAAGAAAGTCTGGGCCTGGGCAGTAAGTGTGATCTATCCACTTACATGCAGGAAAGTTTATTTACATGCAATTCTTATTTAAGAGAATTAGTTTACATTAAATGTGTATATTTGCCGTCTTTCTTGTATCCATGTCTCTCTCCAGCTTTAAAGTGAAGAAGCCTGTAACTGGTATAGATCAAGCATGTCTGAGAGTTGCTTGGTACAAACACTGCGTAGCTGAGCTACAGAGCTGAACACAGCTCTAGTACTGGAAGAAACTTTCAGCTGGCACCAATACATAATATCAGACCTCCAGTATCCGAGTAGTTAGGGCTGCAAAAGAGTTTATATTCAGACTTGAAACTGGTTTTAAAACAGAACAAAATCTGATTTAAAGCCCAAACTGAGTAATATATAAATTTAATTATGTTTCACCTTATACAAGTAAGTTTTCCCCTGCTGTGTTTGTGCAAAAATCTGGTTTTGATCTTTTAAAATTAAAGCTAACTGCAGGAACAATACAAGGTATTTCAAGTAGTCAAGAAACCCAACGTGCTGTCATAAGGTTTCAAGTTGGTCACAACAAGCATACCCTCAACTTGGATGGTCTCCTCTTCCTGAATATTGAGTGTTTAGCTACATTTCTTTCAATTAAAAAAGAACATTCTCCCCTCCCCCAAGTAAAAATGGGAACATTAAAACATATGACAACTTCACTGCACAAAATACTATATATTGTAATAACAAAATGCTTTATTTTGGGGGAATACAAGGAAAGGCGTGACATCCTCATTATCAAGTTGTTTTAAAAAGACAGACTTTCTTTGAAAAACATAACACTTGTACAGAAAAGGTGACCTGTGGATAAGCCCTCTAATTTAGTGGTGAGAATTCTTTTTTATTTTACGGTTGAAGTTGGGATTTGAATAATCGACAGCAACAGATTTCAACTTTGTTCATATTTTCTAGTAGCTTGGGGCACACCTGCCACTTGGCACTGCTCTGGTTTGACAGTCTACCAGGAGTCTGACAACACAAGAGAGATGGAGCTTTCACACTTCTCACCCAGGTTTGCTTTGCAACAAACCACAAGACTTCACCATTACCACAAGACGACAGTGAGAAAGCCACAAGGTAACTCATCTTCTCTTTTATCTCCAAAGATTTTTTCAGGCAAGCCCTATGCTCATGAAATTCTCGTACCATTTATCTGATTACACCTCAGTACTTCACCACACATCCCCATTGCTGTAAGCCAAAACTGTTGTGAAAGCTATACAACAAATCAAAGGTGAAATACAATTATTTCCCCAATGTATCTGTTTTCTGTATAATAGGTTCCAAGAAAGTTGGGATATGTTTTAAAGACCGTGCATTTATATCCATAAATTCCTTCCGCACTCTCTGAACCTTATGTTAGAATTTAAGTTGTTAAAGAAATCGACTGGGAAATTCCTAAAATTGTCAGGTTATAAAGTAAGCATTCATCTTTTAATCCAGTATGACAACTCTTTGACACAAGCAGTATCCTACCACTTAGCATGGATACATTGGTCTTACTCTTTAAAGGGGGTTCACATTGTCTGAAGTGGGAACAGCAAACTCTTAAAAGAACTAGCTAACGTTTTTTTTTTATTCAGGTTAGACATAACAAATATGTCAGATACAGCAGTTAGTCTAGAAAAATACATTTAAAAAAATCTTCAGCAGACCATGCTTCCCTGTAACAAAATCTTTCAAAACCAATTTTACAAATTATTCTACATTAATGTAAAAAGAAAATCTTAAATTTAGCATCATGGATTCCATCAAACATCTATCTATCAAAACATGAGTTTCACTATTGTAGCTGTTAGAATTCATAATACATTTTTCTAATGTATCCTGTACATATTAAATAACCTAAAAGGCTCCTCTTGTAGTGCATTAACAATTTAGCAAGCACACTCAGTATTTCTCCAGTACCATTTGCATTAGTTATTTGCCCGCAAATGTAATTAACATCTAAAAGTGCACACAGTTAGGTCCCCCCTCCCTCCCTATAACCTCTTTCTCTGCTGAAACTCAGACATCCACTGGAAACATTATGCTACTGTAGCTCATCTATCCATGATTAGAAATGTGACTAAAGTGTTCTTGAACTATACAGAAACCAAATTATATACAAGAATCAAAAGAACAGCTTGTATTTACATCAAGCAACTTCCACTACCACAGCATTATACCAAGAACTCAATACAGTGTTACAGTTGGTATTTATTTAGGATTTTACCCTTAAATCAGTATAACACAAAACTTAGCTCAGGAAATACCCTGAAAAAATTAACATGTTTATTAAATATTATTTCTATTATGCCACAAGACAAATATCCATTGCTGGATATTCTTACAAGTTCAGTGTTTGAAATAGTGTGCTGTTCTATAAAGCAACTAAGAAGTTTCAGAAAGGTTTCTGGGGAAAAAAAGGAAGGAAAGAAAAGAAAAAGAGAAAAAGGAGGGGGCAGGGAAAGAAGAAAGGACAACAGGTATCAAGTGAGAAATTAGATCTGAATAACTAAACCAAACTGTTAGCACAAGTTTAAGACAGTCACTGCATGCAGAAACCCCTTGGAAAAGTGTCATACAGATCTGAGTAGGTTGTGATACACAAGCTTAAGATATAACTCCACTGAATTTTTCCATGTCTGTCGGTAGGACTTATCCCTATCAAGTGGAAGAATTTTAAGATTAAATTCCAGATTACCCAGTTTGAGATTAATAGCTTTACTCTCCAAGAAATCCAGTGTATGAACCTATATTATATTTTTCCAATGCTACTTTAAAAAAGGCAAACTATAAACTTTTCAATTCACTTTTTACATTGAACTTTTCAAAGAAATCCAAAGTGTTGTCTTTAATTCGCATTGAAGTGGTCAAACATTTCTCCTCTCCCCAAAAGTGCAAAAAATAAGTTGCTGCTTGGTCCACAGACATAATCTATCATGTACAGCAAGAGATTCTCCTTCTGATGGAGTACTGCTGCCAACCCATCACTTCCAGTTTCTAATCCAAGAAAAATGTCAGCGTCCAAAGATGGAATTCAATTCCAGTAGAATTAATTCTACAATCTGATTCTGGTATACTGTGTGGACTGCTATGTTACCAGTCTCTTTCTCTGGTTTTAATAAGGTTGGACCAAAAACTATTGCTACACTTTGATAGGTCATTCGGTTCTTTTCTCCGTTTTCTACAACTCTGAAAGAGAAAACAAAAATACACAAATAGAGACTTAGTGTTACAGTACTAGGATGACAGGAAAAAGACAGAGTCCAAAGCAAATGACTATTCACAGTATTTATTTGTGTAGTCTTGTTATTAAGAAATACAGCTGCTGTGATTCCCCTCTCTACAGAAAAGTTTTGTTTTGAAATGCTATTCCTGACCCTTTCAAAATCCCTCAAACATAAGGACTTGCCAGTAAATATCACAGCTATGACACATTCTATCTAAAGTCCGTTTGGTGCTCTGCAAGCCTGTATAAATACAGACTGATATATGGTTTTCATCAAGTCCAATACAGGCAAGAAAAATGCAGTGGAAACAATCACCTAGTACTTTTAATTCTATTATTTAGCTTTAAGGGAGGACCAGCAATACAAAGCCTTTCCTCCTATCTGCTACTTACCTCTTCAGGTGTCTAAAGAGTACCTGCATAGTGTCTTGATTTGGTTTTGGCAACTGTTTGATTAAATCTTTAACAGCATGGACACGCTGCCTTGGTTCTTGTTCTGCAAAAAGATGAGGCGTAGAAACAAAAATTCGGTATTTCTGTTTAAAACTTTAGCATAAAATCTAACAGGCTGAGAATAAATGCCAACATTCTGCTGTACCAATACGAGATAAAACACTGCCATCTCGTGGCCAGAGCCTCCATTACTGACAGGCTAGTTCAGGTAAGTCCTGCAGACATTCACAGCCAAAGCATTCTTTTTACTGTCCAAAATAATTAAATTAATTGTACATATTGAGCATAACTTACACAAAATGCACATGCATGTTTTCCAGACTTACTAATTGCATTGACAAAGTCGTTGAAGTGATTATAAGTGAACAGCGGCTCTGGCAATTCTCTGAAAAACATCTTTAGAGCTCCTGTGACGACATGTATATCCTCCCATTTACTGTCATTCAAGTCTAGTTTTTCATCTGAGAGAGAAAAATGAATAATTAATGTTAATTTAACTATGAAAACCTTTTTTTTTTTTTAATAAACTTAACTACTCTTCTGTATTTATTGCTTTTAAAGCAGTAAAGACTTACTTTGCTTCAGCCCTTCTCTGCTGGGATACAGAGCTGCAGCAGTGTAAAAGGGGACACAAAAACTCAGCCACTAGAGAGAGATGGCAAACTCTGCCTACTGCACTACATGCAGCTCCACTACACCAAGGGCACCTTTGAGAGGGGAATAGGAGCCGCTGACATAACAAAATTTACTGTTAGATCCTGTCAATCAGGAAATGAGAGATCAGATTGTAGATGGGCTACTGTCCTCTTCATAGCTGCAAGCTGCCTATCAATTCCCACTGAACAAAACACTAAGGTACAGCCACATTAAAGGGTTTTATACACAGAGCATGGCAAAGGGGAGTAAAGCACCCCCATACTAAAAGGCAGTTGCAAATCTCACTAAAAAGCATTACCTTATAATTTTAATGCTAGTGGAAGCTTAATATGTTTACTGGTTTTCCATAAATTAAGTTATTTTGCTTGAAATAATTCCCCGGCCTCAAATTCTATTACCATCTTTCTTTAGAATTATGTTTTAGCAATGCCCCTATGCTCCATATATGACCAAACGTCCACGATGCTACATTTTTCAAGTGTTGTGTATTACATACTAAATTCTGCTATCTTGAATTAATTTTACTTTGAGGATGACAGTAATTTCTCATGAAAGACTGCAGTTATACGTTAAGAAATTCTTTTTCTTGAGCCTTCTAAACTTCAACAATCTGAAAATATACACAGTTGTAACACAGCTGAAAATCTTACCATGATTGACTGCAAATCTTAGCTTCTGTATCACTGCAAGATTGCCACTAACTCGGTATAAGCCATCAACATCTAATCCTAAAACAAAGGGATAAATCCATTTTAATACCTTACACATTTATGAATTCTGAAATCATTAGGCTGCTTCTTTAGAGGTCTACTCAGTAAAAATAAAAACAAAAGAAACCCACCTTGTAACAAAGAAAACTTAGTTCAGCAAAACCAAAACAACAACAGAAAAAAACCCTAAATTTTTTGATGGGTAGGACATATCAGAGGAGGTTTAGTTTGCTGACAGAGTTTGGTAGTGTCAAGCTTAAAGTAATCTCTAAAACTTCCTACATAGCAAAACAGCAGTAATGAGGCAACAGCTCAAAGTTTCCCCCAATGAATCTAGGGCATCTCATTTAAGATGTTCTTGGTGGTGGTAGGCAGGGAATATCTAAGAGTCCAACATGCAAGAATCAAGTATTTTGTGGATGTTCAATTTTTTTAATGTACGGTTAAGAAAAAAATCAGATCAAGTCATGCATAGAGAGCATCTCAAAGTTGTCAAGTGACCAGGTTTGCATGGAGAAGGAATGATGTACATGCATACACTCATCACTACCCAAGAGCCTACAAAACTAAAAAGGGTAGCCCTTCCCTTTACAGTATTGCACACTCAGCCAGAAAAGATGAAAACGGTCTCTGTGGTTGCTACTGCAGTTACTCAGAAGTGATTAGGAGGTAAAGAATTTAATTGAAGTGCCACTGAATGCAGCATGTGAGTCAATGCCACTGAGAGGGTGAGTGTTGCTAGAATACCTGCAAGTCCCTGTAGCTCCTCAAGGAGTTGTCTGATGTAACACAGCACAGTTACCAGCACCATCTGACATATCCCTTTTCCCCATAAGCCACTAGTCATTCCTTTACAGAAATAACTGATTTGAAGTGTACTGGCAGTAGGAAGAAGAGTTGGAGAAGTGGGGAAAAAAAGCTGTTCATTTCTGTCAGCTTCCCCTCAGGCATTTAAAAAAGGAAAACTTCACCACTATCTTCACTGCAGTCCTGTCTTTAAAATAAAAAAAAAAAAGAAAAAAAAGAAAAAAAAATAACAAAGCAAAATAACCCCTTTCTCATAAACTGTAGATCACAAACAGAATTAAAGCCTGCTGTTACAAGGAAGGTTGCAGTTTGTTGAACTGGTATAAAGCAGTTATTTTTCCCCTCCCAGGCCATAAAATAGCAGCATTGAGAAAGAGGACCACAGGCTGCAACAAATTCCTAAATGAAGTTCCCATGAAAGATGCCTTAAAATTCACATGTAGCATTCCCCTGTAACACTTACCCTGATTCTCAAGAGAATGTTCTTAGATTAACAGACTGGTATATATCTGAATGATGATTATGGAGATTCCATAATCCCCTCTCAGTCATCTTTTCCAAGAGATAGGACAATGAGAACAGCAAGAAACAAGAAAGAAAACTAGCACAGACTACAGGCAAAGCAGGAGTCACAACCAGCATAATTTCAACAAAAATGTGAGGATGTTCTTTATATCAGACAACCCAGAATGTCACATGTAGCTTTCAAACATATCATTTTCTCAGTTATTAGGTAGGAGACACTTATTTTCAACAAAAGCAGAAAAAAAATGAGTCAATACGTGGACACTGATAGTCTCCAGAATTGCATAAGACTTCACACAGCAATCCGGTGTAACTGGCTGAAGGGCATCAAACCAATAGGCACATCTTCTGGCAGTCAACGTATATACAGAGCAGGAACACCACTTTTACCTAAAAGTTTGTTTCAAGGAAGTTTTCATATAAATGATTGTTCTTATGCATAAACTTTCCAAAAATGAATAGTTGTGTATTGGCGGTCTCTCTCTTTTCATCTGAAAAAAAACCTTGATGGGCTGAGCTCTTCTATTACTTCCTGTAATCCCTCTTTCCTTAGAGCCTTGCCGCCAGGAGGCTGTCCTGCCTTATCCTCTGTTTGTAATATACTGAAGCATATATATTTCTCAGACATAAGATTTCCTCCCCTCTCCCCATTTTGGATCCCACCTGACTCCCCACTCTTGAAAACTCATTGCTAACTACAAATACAAGTTTCAGATTGTTTTCCCCAGATAAATCTACAGCATTTTAAGGATTAAAATGTTCAAAATCAGATAGTGTGGTGAGCAAGAGAGATTTGGAAACAAAAAATTGCAACCATACCATGTTCCTCAACATGCTCAATGCACAGCTTCACGAACTTTGGCACCGTGCTGTTTTCTCTTTGACACAAGCTGGTGAGATTGGAACCAAACACTTGATCTGGAACCAAGTAAAGAGACTGATTTACAGTGGAACAGGACTCAAGTGACAGAACTAGTTCAGGTTAAAACAAACCTCTACAAAGGGCAAAGACTACTGGATACAATTGTCACAGTATTAGAGTGAAAATAGGAAAGTTTTGAAAAGAGCTCTTAGCAGCTTCCAGCAAGAAAAAGCTCCCAGTAAGAAAGAGCGTCAGAAGTTACACAAATGTGAGTCTCTGAATAAGGAAATTTTGATACTGAAATAATTTTAATCCATCAGGAGATACTTGTAAGTCATATAGCCAGAAATTTAATGGATTCAATTGTCCTGTTACACTCCATTTCTGTTCTGAGTTCAAAATACATTTACTGTTATCTTTGTTAAAAATCTGAACAGAGATAATAAACTTTAACCAAAGTGGCATTGCTTGGGGAAAAAAAATGGCATTATTTTGGGGGAAAAAATCTGTAAAATTTCATCTTTCATTGCATCTACTGTTTAACCCAGTATTATATAACTAATTTACTTTAATGTAGAGTCTTTAACTTCTAACACTTTTAAGTTCTGACATGGATTTGTAAATGTCAAGACTTTTACATCACAGAGCAAGTATGACTATGCATAGGCAACCTGGCTGCAAGGTTGGAATTCAAACACATATATTTATGGACAAAAGTAATTTTGAGTCTTGCTTTCAGAACTACACAAATGAGAGGGATTGTATCAAACTAGAGCAAAAATGAAAATTGGCTTGGGCAGAAAACAGATTCTTGCAACGTCTCAGTTTATTTCAGCAACATGTTAATTCCTCTTGTTCAGATTATGTTATCACCAAAATCTCTCAGACCCATTTCTATTGTTTTCATCAAAGATGCCCAAATAATAGATGGCCTCCCCTGTTCAGTTGCATGAGATTGAAACAGGGTCTCGAGACAGAGAAGCAAAGCCCACACTCTTAAAGGGAAGAAAGTTTTAGAGTTTCGTTTCTTTTTATTATTATTATTATTTTTAGCTGTTAATTAAGGTAAGTGGCTGTGTTCTCAGTTTCTAGTAGATCTTACTTCAGAGCTTATGCAAGAGAGAAACTGCTCTTGCCTTTGCATCATGCATAGTATCTAGCCCATTTTTCATGTTTAGTAATTTAAGCAGCTTCATTAACAACACTTGCATCTGACTGCTGCCTTTGGAAATCCAAACTGCACACCAAACCAATTATACAGTGTAAAAACAGGCATATAGTGGTATTAGTGCTGTATGCACAAGAGGCCGGTGACCCAAAACACCTCAGTCCTGCTGCTGCTACTCACACAGCCAGCTGTACAAGCAGAATCAGTAGCAAGGGATTGTGAAAGCCCACACAGTAGGAAGCCAGGCTAGCATGCAGCTGTAAGCAGGTAAAGCAATGCAGATTAGGTAGCACAAGAAAATACTATCATGTAACAAACTGATTTGCTACAATTGCCTCTGCCTTTAATAATTAACACATATACAGGAATAATTTTTTTTTCTCATTTTAAAGTAACTTTTGTAATTTTATTTTTCCATGTAACAAAACTTTAACACAGTTACTTCTCTGCTTAGTGCATCCTGTTTCAAGTGTTGTTGGCTTTTTTTTTTTGTTTTTGGTTTTGTTTTGTTTTTCCAGATTTTATACTTTTTCTGCTCATACTGGGCTTGCCAAGTTTTCCATTTACTAAGCTTGTTCTGTAGCAGCCGCAAAAGTACAATGGGCTTTTAAGTAAAGACTTCTGTATTTTTAATTCATACAGTAAATGTAAAACTGTACAGTGCAGATCAAACTTTTAAGATTTACACCATGCTTTTAAATAAAAACAAACTCTTAATTTCTTAATGTCTTTATTAAAAATCCAGTCAACAGCACGCAATGTACAAATTAAACGTGGCTTAGCGTTCACTGTTGCTAATGTCAGAAATTACGTCACTGAGCCATGACATGAATACTAAACTGTAGAGCAGAGCAAAACGTCAAAGTCTGGGAATAATACCTCCTTATCCCAAATAAAACTTCCATAATTTACAGTGAAATTATATTTGCAGATACACAAATATATCAAATGCCACATGCAACAGAAGCACATCTGTTAAAGTATGTAGTTAGGCAAATCACAGTAGGATTTGGTCTGGTATTTGCCTACCCATATGCTATTTTGACCCTAGTAGACCACCACCTACAAGTCCTGCTAAAGCATACAAATATATAAATAAAGATTTACAGTGAGTACCAAGTCAATAATTTACACAAACACATTAACTTAAACCTGTGCAAATACTGTTCTCTCAAAGCTTCTAGAGGTGTGACAAATGGAAATAATTTCTTTCATAAGTCTGATTCAAGAGTATCTGAAAGACTCATTGTTCATGAAAATGAAAAAAAAAATGTATACATTCAAAAAAGGTTAGGTAAAAAGGTGTTTAAGTTAAGATTCCTTTAGCTTCATCCTGGTTTGCCTAAGTATTTTAATTTCTTATGAGATGGTGCATGACTGTCTGGTTCCACTCACACTAAAACACCCTTGTGAAACAGACGAGCACATGCATTCAGCTTTGTACCCAAAGGATGTTTCTCTCCCTTGTATGCACAAATGATTATCAGCTGTCTGAAGTTTCCAGCTCAGAACAGCAGATCAAATGGACTCTCTAGCTAAGAATCACTCCAAGTCCAAACAGGCTGCTGAGCCTCCAATTTTCACTGCCGTTTTGCCAGTAAAAAGAGTTGAAGGAGAGGACCTTCTCCATGAAGTTTAGTGGCTCGTAGCAGTGCTCAGAAGAATGACAATCAATCCCCAGTTCCACTATACATCAAAGACTTTTGTTAAACCAGCTGTATATACATGTTTTACTATAAAACCAGACCATTTAAACCCCATTTTACACATGAACCACTAAATTCAGCTTTTCAAATTATTTCCTTTGTTAAAAAGGTTCATTTACCCTTAATGTAGCCTTTTTCACGGACAGCTTGTAATGTAGGGCGCCGTGTAAGAAACTTCTTGAGCTTTGTTTTGGTCTTTTTCTGATCTGTGGAATCTATATTGCTAGGTGCTTTCACTGCTGAAAAGAGAAATGCATTTAACATGAATATCCACAGAACCAACACTGCATTTATCTGTCAAGGAACCAACATTTTAAAAAAGATACTGAGCTCAAACACACATCGAAAAAACTATTCAAATTTGCAATGAATCTACATTTTTTTTCCTTAATTTCTTGGAACTCCTTGTAAATAGAATCCATTTTTCAAACCACCAAGGGACAACCCTGTCACAAAAACCTTGTAAAACTAAGCGTTGCCTGTGAAACTAAATGGTAGCTTACATATGGAATTGATGTGGAATTTAAAAAATATAGTCCTGCCTTTCATCAAGTTAAATATTTTGAAAGAAATACTTTCTTCAAATTACATATAAGATGCAGAAGTAGAAGACATAAAATAGTCTGCCTGATTAATATATTTCTGTGCATAGGAAGAAATTTCTGTGGCTAGAAGAAATTTAGCTCTAAAATTCTGAAGGTGGAATTAAAAATGCTTATTTTCTCTACATGAGCCAATGTAACAACATTAGTAACTTAGTAAAATTGCAGTTTAAGTTAATAGTGCAAATATTTACAGATGCTGTCCCACAAACAAAAACCATGTAAAACAACTCTAATCAGTTTTGAATATGCAAAAGGACAAAAGAATTCTTATTCAAAGCAATTTATAAAAGTGAAAGAAAACAAACAATTATTTCTGTGCATTTGACAACACCTTGAAAATTATCTATTACACTACTGCTTATTTTCTCCTATTTTTCATGTCTCATACAGCACATGCTAAAGACATTTGGTAATTTTGTCTAAATTTTTATTAATAAAACACAGAAGAAAATCTACTGACTGGCACCAAAATGTAGAATGAAGTATACTGAAGTCTGGAAACAGTCTTTTGTAATTTCACTTCTAGCTGCCCTTTTGAATTCTCCTCTATTTACACATAATACTGTAGATGCAAAAAATGAAAACTAGCATTGCTACAATCAATTAATGGAAAATTTTCAACTCACAGCGAAGTTTCTTGGAGTCTTTATTCTCTTTCTCTTTGTCTTGTTTTTCCACCCCAGGGGAATCTGGTATTTCATCTTCTAATGTTTCATCAGACTCTATTACCTATTAGATTTAAGAAGATTCACAGTGATCAGTTTGCCAGTTCATAGAATATAGCATTAATAAACACATTTCCAGAAGATATACAGTATACATTTTTCCCCCTATAAAGACACTCATTTAGTTCTTTCCCGAACTCTAGACAATAAAAATATATTTAGAGATTATACCATTCTTACTAGCAGAGTGAATCACTTTGACAAACACTATTTGATCATGAGACCCCAATACAGAAAGTTTTTCTGGATGCAGGACAAAGTACAAGCAGCCTTTCATGGTAACACTTCATTACATCAACTGATAAACAATAGAAATGTTGGTGGGGTTTTTTTTAAATCCAGTAGACAAGCATCAGCTATTTCACAGTCTGCTACAGAAGCACCTGATTGATAGTCTAAAAAACATTTATAGAGCATTTACCCTATTCTTATCTCTAGAATTATAGTTTTCTTAATAAAAAAATAGAACTACCAGTTGGAAAATTTCACCATTGTCAAAACATACACAGAATTCACTCTGAAAAAGTAAATATACCAGCACCTAAAATTCTTGCCATGTGTTATTGCTCTCATCATATTCTCATTAAACACAGTCAAGTGAAAATGTAGATCATGTAGAGTGGAGGCAGATACTGGCGGAGGTCTGTTAAACTGCCCACCTGCAGCCTCACACCTATGCTACACGCATGACTCCAAACATACCAGAAAATAGGAAGAGAAACTTCCTCTGGTCTCAGTGCTACATACTCTCTTCCAAAACCACACATTTCTTTCTTCACATTTACCAGTGTGAACTTGACTTCTGTGCAGTTACAAAAATCTGGCTGTGCGCTGTCTTTTGTTACAAGGAAGGACATTTTAAAAATAAGGCAAGGTTACATACCCTAGGTCACTGAATGAGCAGAAGCAGGACTTTATCGACTATATCCACTTTAAGTTGAAGAGTAGATGTTAGCTTTAAACACCCTTATTCCTTGCTGCTTTTCAAAAGCTTTGGATAGCCTTTTTACATATCAAAGATGAATATATTCAACTGCCCAATTAACATCCCCACTAAGGATCCCTCTGTCACCAAGACAACTTGGACAGTGCTCTCTTCAAGAGGCCTCAAAGCTTTTTAGGACTGATAATTTTGAAACCATCAACTGCTTTGGAAAAAAAATTACCTGGAATTTAGTTTGTATTATGGAACAAGTCTAGTTTAATCACTTGAAAATTTCTGTATGTAAAAAAGAGCAGCCACATCCTTCACAAGTAGCTATTGTACAGCATATGAAGGAGCAAAGAGACCAGAATCTAATCTGTACCTTCTTTTGAGGAAGATCTCATCACACTAGAACTAGCCCCTCTCGTCCTGGGAAAGAGATTCATGGCTACTACTACCATGAAGTTCAAAAAATTAAAAGTTTGCTTCAGATCTGATGGCTTTTTGTACCAAAAGCTTCAGTGCTCAGGTAGTCTAATAATGTACTAATAATCAGGTAGTCTAATAATGTACTTTTTGAAATCTTGCCTTGTAAACTGAGGTCTCTTGGCTACTATCTCCCAGCAGTAATACATCACCATTTCTCCATATTGCTGATAAAGTCTTCCTATTCCACCATTCACTTCCTCAACCTAGCATGTAATACCTCACTCTCATCTCAGTATATCTCAGCCTTTCCATCTTCATTTATATTTAAGCAGGGAAGAAGTGGCCATAGTAGCAGGACACAGGGCAGACAGGAGAAGGGTATCGCTGAGTGACTGCCTTGCCTGGTTATTAAGGGTCATGATATTTTCATACCAGGAGAGAGCAGAATATTAGGACCCTAAACCATGAGCACTCGGAAAGAAACTAAACCATTCATATTAGCCTGCTGTATTTGGGTTGCAAACATCCATATGTGGTAAACACTGTTAGAGCCAAGAGAAATTAAGGCCACTGACTGACATTGAAAGCAATATAAATGCAACTTATGAGCAGCAACCAGGCCTGTAACTATAAAAATTAAGAATGCACATTAAGTCAACTTGATATGAGAGGAATATTTTCTGAAATATCTCCAACCACTTCTGAATTCAAAGATGATAATCTTGTTTGGCAATATCAAGAGCAAATGCTTGCTCGCTTTTCTGTTGATTAAATAATTGGCATTATGCTCTCTGATAAGAGATAATACAGTATTTTGCTAGGGCTTTTAATTTGCACTTTTGTGCAGCCTTAAGTGAATAGCAGTATCAAATGCTGACTAATGTATGCCATGAAGCACTCCCTTGGCCATTCTCCCTCCTTTACTCCCTCTCTATCAGAACCTTTCAGATCACTAAGACAGAACAAGTATTTGGCCACAGAAGGAAGCTCATTTCTGAGTTGGAGGTCAGCATGCATCTCCTCGTTCTTAATCCAGGGGACCACCCTTCTTCCTTTGCCACTATTAATTATATTTCACTTGTCACCACCAGGAACTGCCATATCCTTAACCTCCTGCTCACACTCAAGAAAATCAAGAAATTAAGATGTATGTGAAACACAGAGAATCTTTACATGAATTATTTTACTAAATAACACTACCTTGAAAATAGAGCCTTCGTGATTTAAACACATACCTGATTGTTGATGGTGTAGTTAAGAACTTTGTACCATTCATTAATAAAGCTGTCATTATCGGATTGAATTAAGAGTTCTGTTCCTTGGCGGGTTTTTAGCTTTAAAGAAATAAAAGCAGGTATCATCAGAATTGATAAACATACTAGAATTCAAAAGTGAAATTTCCTAAATTAAACTTCTCCCTGGCATACCAGTCAAAACAGTAAATAACAGTCAGCTTAAAATTTAAAAGCATATCCCATACAGACATATTTAAAAATGGACATTTCTAGGTACTAAGATATGTCTACATTTGAGTAGGAAGAAATGTAGTAAACTCAAAGTTTTTAAGTTTAGAGAAAATTTATTAAGTCATTAAAATACATATAATTCTGCATTTAAATAAAAATACTTCACCTCAATAACGTTCTTTTTGCTGGATTTGTCCTTTGAGGCCCAGTCAATCAATGCCCCTTTAAGATCCACTGTAAATTCTGGCTTAGACTGATTGACACCAAACTTCTGGAAAAAAAGGAACAATCATGACAAACTTAAAAACAAAGGAAAACTAATAGGTACACAGTCCTGCAACCCTCTGGATATAACGTATGTTATTTACAGTCTATACAACTTAACCCAAATACAGTACTTTGCCACAAATCAACAGGCACCATACCAGGAAAACAAAAACCAAAGCAAAACCTGACACAAAACAACCTTTAAAGCATGCCTATTAAAAGCTGCTCAGCTTAAAGGCCTTAAAATTCTATAACTTTAAATGCCAACCAGATTCCAGTAGAGCTTTTTCCTATCAGAAATGGTAGAATTCAATTCCGGCATTTGATTGTAGCTTGATTTTTGTCCCATGCTTTAATCAAAACTTGTTAATAAGTAACTTAACAAAAAACCCTCATTCTGTCAGTTAGTCAACGGCTGTATATAAAACCAAAAATCAAACCAGAAATAGTAGTTTTACTAGACAGGAATCACATCTTTCCTGCTCTGAAAGAGCACTTGCAGTTTTTACATTTTCATAAGATATGTATTTCCAACAATGCTTTTCACATTATTTTATATTTTTCTACAGCGTTTCTACTGCAGTACTAGAGCATATTCTAGCAAGTATACAGAACTCAATTTCACTGCCTAGCTACTGAACAAACAGCTAGTAACTGAAGTGATAAAAAAAGCATTTAACCCACAAATAACACTCCAAACAGTCTGGAGGAAAACATCAGGGAGCTATTTCTACCTACTACTTTTACATTTATATGAGGTATCACCATTTTTTAAAAATAAAGTACTTTTATTAGAGTTTCTACCTACTCTACGTAGCTTTGCTATATCATTCCTCAAGGAAATCAATTCAGTGACCCATGCAAACAAAAAGCGCTAATGTGAGTAAAAGAAATAAAACACAGAACAGGGAAAGCTGTAAGTCACTTGGTTATAGCACAGAAATCTAATGCTGTATTTCTAGGGGAAGCTTGTAGCATCTGATTCATCAGAAAGCTTTTTTTCTACTTCTTTAAAAAGTCTGATGTGCAAATGCTGCTCGTGTGACAGCGCTGGGGGACATAAGCCTGGGGACAATCTCCTTGCTGCAAACACAAGTTTTCAGCCTGTACAACAACAGCCATATCCAAGAGAAGAAAACACAGTTCAGAAAACAGAGCTAATCTGCTGCTTCTGATTAAATTCCCAGCATGGATCTTAATTAATGCTAATTGTGTTTTAGAAAGGCTGTTTACCACTGGAAAATCTCCCCACCTTGAAACCTAAGAGCAATTAAGTATTGAATAGTTAATAAGTAGCAACTTAACTTCTTTATTTTACTCATGAAATACCAGAACAGGAGAATATTTCTAATTTACCTAATGCCAACCAGCACTTGAGAAGAAACAAAACAAAATAACAACAATAAAACACCAACAAACGCTTCTGCTTTCTAACTGAATTCACAGATACCTCATCCAAGAACATTTCTTATTAATTATAGTAGCATTTCTGTGAGAGGCCCAGCTCACCAGTGGAGTCCACAGGAGCATGAACAATCTCTGGGCCATTACAGCTCTTGCAGTTGTGGGCAGCTATGCAGCAGCTGCCTGTTTACAAGAGATTCACATAACTGTTTCACATACAACCGAAGTGCCCAAGCCGCACACCTCCTGACAGTCTAGATCAATCTTGCTGTGTGTTGGGGGGGGGTGAGGGAGGGGGCAGAGGGCAGCAGAAAAATAATCAACTTAGAGTTTAGCACTGGAAAGAGGAGGAGACTAGTGCCAAAGTCCTTTGCATATCTGGGGGGAGATATTCATTAAAAAGACTGCCCAGATGATGCTGAGAAGTAGTGGAGATGACCTGCTACAGGTAAAATCAACAAACAAGAACAAAAGAAAAAATGTAATAGTAACTGCCATCTTCTCCAGAAGTAAAGCCCTCCAATACATTAGCTTGCTGAATTCCCCATCTGACAGATCACAGCACAACCTCAAACACCTTTGCACTTTACCCACCTTTTTGGCCTGACTTCAGCATTTCAGAAGCACAGAAAAGACAAAACCTAGAAGCTAAATTTCTCAGAGGGGAAGAAAAAAAGTCTTCTCCTGCTCCTTCACACAAGCAGTGCCCAAACTGCTTCATGAGATCCAAGGATGGGTAAACCCATGCAAATAATCCAGCCTCTCTGTAAAGCTCCTCTGATATACCAATATATTATATACTCATCACAAACTTAATTTCTTTATTTAAGTAAATTTTAAGTTTAGCATGCAGGCTCTCCTACAAGCTTTCCTGTCAAGCTTCTTTTCTGCTCCTGGGTATATGAAAACAAGATGCCAGCAGCTATTTCCCTCCTTGAAAACTTCCAGGAGCAAGTCCTATACAGGGCTGCTCAGATGCTCTGCACACAAAGGTTAGCTAAAGGCAACCAAACCCTCCTGAAGTAAGCAGGTTTTGCTGCGAGCAGTAAAAATAAAACCTTTCCTGTTAGCATGTGCTGCCACCTAGACAAAGTCGGCTTTCTCAAAACAGAGTGCATTACCAAGTCAGCACTAGTCAGGATAAATTGAGCTCTTACTGAGCAGACACCTTATTCTTACTAGATTTCTCTTATGAGCTGTCAGGGAAGTTTGGGAAGGGCAGCAGTATGAGACAAAGTAGAAGAGGTCTATGCATAGTGCTGCCAGCTGTCCTAGATATGACACTATCCCAGAGTCACTTCTGACAGCTTTTTCTAGAAAAAAAACATAGTCATGGGATGTGCTTATGTTAGTTATATGGCAGAGATAACTTCTACTTTTTGGAAAGAAGAGAGTTTTGGGGTTTTTTTTTTTTGCTTTAAACATAGTAGATGCTGTGTAGATTAATGACTGCCTTGAAGACGCATGTTGACATCAATGAATAGGCCTTTTCTGTCTTTTCAGGAGTTTTCTCCAAGTCCTAGAAGCCTCCACAAGGCAAGCCATATAGTCTGTATTAAGTGAAATATTCCAGCATTCTTTGGAAAGAGAACTGGATGTTATTTATGGGAAGACTTTGGATATACAAATGACAACTGTCATTCTCGTAATTCAGTTTCTAATTAGAGTTGGGTAGAACATTTTAATTCCAAGTCTTCCCCTCACCCATAGATGGACTGCAGAAATAGAGCTGAGGAGACAGAAGCTCCTTTGCAGCTGGTAGGGGAGGTTCAGAACTTACAGTTTTAACAACAAAAGAAATACTCTATTGTCGTCGCAAAACAATGGAAGTTTTTTGAAACCAGACTCTGATAGGAGTATTTGCATTCCAAACAGTTTTTATGATAATCATCTGAACTCCTGTATAATCAGCTGTGCAATATTGATGAACTGTAGTAATGTACATATAGCATCCTTGGCTATAAACACAGTGGTATAACAGTAAACAAGAGTTTGCCCAGATGAACCTTGAAGGGCATTTATTTTCTTGATGTTTGAGTTTACCCGCTTTTGGTTTCCCATCAGTGTACTTGACACTAAGGAAATGCTCCTATTACAAACGGTTGACCAATGAATCCTTCTAAGCAGTCACCATTTGCTGTGCTTTATGAAGACCCATCACTCAAATTTGGGAAAAGCTATTACAACTCACACCAAAAGTTGAGAGACAACTTCTTTCAACAGTTCAATATTTAAATTTCTGTGAGAAGACATTAAAAAAAAAAATCCAGATTTCCTTATAGAAAGTAGCATTTTAAAGGATACCAAACTGTGTACAAATTATCTGTTCCAAGCTTCCAGATACATAGCAATGAATCTGACAGACAAAGAAAAGGCAGTTGCATCGTTTTTAACACAAGATTAATCGAATAAGCCTAACTCACCCCTACAGGAAAAAAAAAAAAAAATTCTGGTACTGATTATCAAAACCAGTCATTCTACAAGTCTCAGGAATCTTAACTAAACTCAAAACATCTAGTTCTCTCTCCACTCTTCAGGAAATACAAGACAAGATACCAAAATATTTTCAAATATCACCAACATTTTAAAATCCTCAAGAAATCAAATTATTGAAACAGTGCTTTTAATGTCTTCAGCTTATGATTTCCTCCATGAAAGCTTTAGTTTGATTCTGAAAAGAATGCTGAGAAAGCAATATTAAAAACTAATTATACAACCAGTTAAGCCTGTTTGTTTCTTTTAACACTATTATCATTATCTAAATTCCTCCTCATCCACCTTGAGCAACAACCCACCATATTAACTGCCAACATTTTATCAGTTTCTGATAAACGGCATTTCTATGCTTGGCATCTACACTGCAAAACATCAATAACTACAGATGTTTAAGTTATATTTAAAGAATCCTACAAATTTACATCAGCTTTCCGCACGTGGCACATAGCCAGAACATCCTTGAGCTCTTTTCCTTTCAGCTTTTTATGCATAACATTTACATTTTTAAGCATTCCAATTATATCTAGAATTAACTAACATGTACATCGTTGTATCAAAGGTATCATAGGCATCTTAGAAACATCCTAAATTAGTTGTGTTAGAAAGAATTAGACATAAAATATCCGTTAAAAAAATGACCATATCATGCTGTTCATTAGTCAAGACACTAGTGGTTCAAATAATAGGCAAATTTCAATATTATAAATCTGGCACTGATGAACCAGATGCTCTTTCTACTTTGTTCCATTAGAACTATTACAGGATTATTGCAATATACTTCTGTTAATTCACACTTTGGGTGACTTTCAGAAAACGGCAAACAGGATACACACAGTGTTACATGAAGTGACAAAACTGAAACCTTGGAAAAGATTCAAATTTACTTTCAAGATTAGTGACAAATAGCCTTACACTGACAAGAGGCATGCAACAAGAACACATACAGTGATAGCTGAAACTTGGTCAGAGTTTACATAGGTGACAGCAGGTCGACGACTGAGAGCATTTTTCCAAGAAGAAAGCAGCGAGAGCAAGAGCTCAGGAATTGAGCCCCCCTGGCAAAATGACTTGATGAGAAAAAGGAAGAGAAGTGATGAAGTCACAAAACAGTGCACACACACAAAAAAATATATGGTTATATGAATCACTAGGCAAATATTCTTCTCATAAGATGAAGAAATGTAACTCTTACATCAAATTCTTAAAGTTTGACTTCACCTTATTAAAATACTGACACAGATCAAAGTTCAAGAGGGGAGGTGAAATTTTTAACACCCCCAAAAAAGTTTCTTACACAGAGGGCAAAAAGCGTGTGTTGAATATTTAACTACATATTTACAAAGCCAACTGCAAGTATGTAGGTATACAACGCAAAGTCCCTGAAAGAGATTCTCCCTTAATATTTCCAGCTTCACTTTTTTCTGGTCATACTGTTGATATTTAGTTTTCTGACCCAGCTCCAATACTTGACAGTACACATAGCTGAGAGTGTTGCACAGAAATATTGTGATTATGATACTTTTTCTCCACCTAAATTATCAAAATAATTTATGCCTTTTTCCCCTCCACACGCCAAATTACTGGTTTTGGAAGGTGTAACACATCTTACACTAGTATCTCTAAGCAATAAGCAATAATTATTCTCTTTTATGGATAACTGATTTGGGCCCACATTCATTCATAACAATATCATACATTCATAAATAATATCTTAGTTTAGCACTGTGTGTTTTAACAATATCAACATATAGTTAAAGTTTTTGATCTACAGCTACATTTGGATTAAGAGTATTGATAGCTGTAATCAAGTTTTTGGAACATGATTAGTTATTCAGGTGAAATGTTTTACTTTCCAAACATGAATATTTATAAAGTACTTTTTTGATCCTTAGTTATAAAAGTAAACTGCAAAGTCACCAAGTCCACTTCCTACCAGACAACGTAGTTTACCGTATTATCTCATGTCTTTATTCTTTTTCCTTCCCTTCTCTTTTCCTTCTGCTTGACTATCTTGCCCAACTTTACTCTTTCCATTCTCTTCTACCCCAAATGTTTTTATCCATCCTCACCCATTCTTTCCCAACCACCCCTTCTACAGCAACAGAAGGGCAAAAAATGATCTTTACAGCTCTGAAATTAACTCAATGCTTTAGAAAAGAATTGTCAATACCAATTCACTACCCAAAAAGAAGCACAGCAGGAGAAAGTGAGCCAAGTAGAAAGGTCAGCAAAGCACAGAAAGGTAACACATACACTGGAATAATGAATACTGAATCTGACCTCTCGTTAGTTACTACAGCAGATTCACACAGTTTAATGTCAGACCTCCAAAACTAGGTAAGTGGTAGATAAAGAACCATTTCTATACCTATCAATGTTGGAATGCAGCTGGATAAATATAGCCAATTTAATTACAGTGCTATTAAACAAGACATGATGTAAAAATTGAATAATCACCACCTTCAGTGTGATGTTTCCCTTTGAGTCTTCATCAGACATCAAAATAAGATACAAATACTTGTCATACACTGTGCAGATATAAAACAAAATATGGAATCCAGCAAGGCAAAGACTACGTAAGACAATAAAATTACATTCTTCAAATAGTCCAACACAACAAGCCAAGCGTCAGACTGTTTTCTTTATTACACGTATCACATTCAAAGTTACATGGAGTTTACAAAAAAATACGCATGGTAAAACAAACAAACTGTTTAGACAAACACAGTAGCAAGGAACACAAAAATATATGGCCTACAGCAAAAACTTCAAGCTTACAGGGCGCTTGAATACCTCTTCATGAGTTTCTTACTTATCAAATGAAAAAATGTTTCTGAAATATAAGAAAATACAACTGGTTTCCTTCACATTCTACATCATAATTGTTACATTAAACTATTTTCCTGCTAATTTACACACACTTACTTTTCCTAAATTATGCATTTATATTGGTATTTAAGCCCTACAAATTAGAAATCTTTAATTTACTGTGGTTTATATGATTAAATGGGGGGAGGGGGTTGTTCCCAAGCTTACCCAGCCAGTTCCACTTCCTTGGGTTTTAGTGAACAGCAGTGATGAGCCTTGTAATACTGCCCATGATGACATCCAATTCTTTCTGTAAATATTTGTAAACAAGCATAAGATAAATTGACTTAGAAAGTAGATATTTCAACTGTCAATCACTGTTGCCCAGCTGACCTGTATGTTAATATACTTAACCATATATATGGTCATTAGTGCCATCGGTAAGTGCTAATTGCTATCATATTTGTGGAAGGGAACATATGTTAGCAGTCCCAGCCTGACCATCAAAGTCTAAATCAAACAAAGCTAATTAGTAGTGGAAGCAGTTCACCAGGAAAAACACTGTACAATTATAATTTCAAAGGGGCTAATCGGGAATGCTCAGTCTACTATGTATTTAGCACATTATGCCAAAGCACTGCATAATTCTGAAAGTGATCAACCACCTCTAACTGGGATGCAAGTATCCCTTTTATATAATAGTCATTACATTGGCAATTAAATATTTGCTACACATCTAAAAAAAAAATCAGAAAAAGAACAAATGAATTGTTCCAGCTGTCTGACTATTTGCTTTTATACCCGAGTACCTGTTCTCCTGGGGTTTAAAATAAGAAAAAAAGTCTTGACAAGCCCTGACAATCTATTCCCATTGCCCAAGCATGAATTATTATTCAACGGCTCTCAAACTGACAGGATAGCCATGGCGCATCTTTCTGTACAGCAGTGCAGTAATCCAGATCAATGATTCCAAAAGATGCAACATAAATGGTAAGAGTATACTGCACCAGTACCAGCTTACATGAGCCACTGTCCACACTTCCCTACCAAGCTCTCAGGAACCTAACTGGGGGTCAGATGTGCTGCCCAGCTGCACTGGACTAGGTCAAGGTGGCTCTGGAATATCAACTGGGTGCAGACTATTTAATCCTCAGGAAAATCATGCTTCATACATCAAAAGTCTGGGAAACACTGAACTAGATACAACATAGTATTAGACCTAAAAGATTAATTTAAAAAAGAAAAGTTAAAAAAGTAAAAAGTAAATTTAAATTAAACCTAAGGATGTGCCACACTTATGCGGTATTTAATACTGACTCTTTGCAAAACACCATAAATGTAAGTTAGACGGCATTACTTGATTATCCATTACGGTTTATAACGTAAATGCCTGCCTGTGAGGCAGATAAAGGAAGTTAGAAACGAGGTCATTCATCACCTGCAGGGAGATCAACACTGAGCAATATGTTCTGATTCAAACTCTTCACAAGCATAGTAAAGGAAGAATGAGGGAGTACGTGCTATATACTCCTTGGACACTAAAGCAGATCAATCGAAAATCTGAAAGCCCCTCTTACACCGATTCTACTCAAGGAACAACACAGGCTAACACCTATGCAGATTTTCTCTTAAATAAACAAATTGATCCCATTTCAAAAAGGTGTCTTTCATCAGTACAACTTCATGAAATCACTGCCCTGGCATACATGAACCTCTGGCTCTCTGAAATCCATGATCTTTAGCTCACTGGGGGAGACACATACTTTGGGATAAGGAAATTGTGTCCTACAGGAAAACCTCTAAGACAAACTGAGACAAAAAATAAGAAATTGTAAAACCCCGTATGCTGCTCTAATATAAAAGTCAAATACCTTACACAAACTCTTATGCATGTGTACTTCTAGAAGTCCAAGACTTACCGAACTTTCTTCCCATTTTCTGTAATTTTTGTCACATTCAATAACCCGTACTTCTCTTGACCCTGTAAAATAAGAGTAAAACATAGCGAATATAAAAGAAAATCTGCTTCTATTGCCATCAGGGCATTGAATTCAATCCCCCCAAAAAATAAATTTCTGGCAACAAGCCATCCTTGCCCATGTTATAACTTCAAGAAACTGTCTTAAGTATATTTAAATATGCAGAGATCAGCAGAATCGTAACTCCTCTGGAACAGTACTCATTACCATTCAGAGGATAAAAATCTTTCCCTCTTTAAGGCCTAGGTTCTTTAGACAAACCAAACTAAATCATTTCTGGTACTAGACAGGGCAATCTTTAAACATAAATTTATAATGGTTTGTGTAATAGCACATTTGTCCTTTACTAAAAAAGGAGATGACCGACAAACAGCCTCAATTCACTGACAAAATACTTCCAAGTTACTTTAATATAATGGCATATTTTAAATAAAACATAGTTGAAATACATAAAAATGTTAATTTAAAAAGTTAATAAAAACAGATGAGTGAAGCATTTCTTTGATGACCTATTTTTTTCCTGTCTCCAAGCAAAATACCGGAATTTTAAACTACTTAGTTATGTCTTGTTAATGAAAAGAATTTCTATTGGTATGCCTCCTTACAAATTTGGAGATCAGTAAGTGAGTGGTGGAATAAGAACACTGCTGAACAAGAAGGGTATTTTCAAGTTTCAAAAATATTTGGAGTATTTCTAGTTTCTGTGCAAAAATAATAAAACATAAAGGAACGTTTGAAAAATATATTCTAGAATAAAAAGGAAAACCAATGATTTACACCATTTTGACTCTCAAGATGAGTTAACAAATTCTATCATTTTCTCATGTTACCTCAATCTTGTCCTACCAGTGAACAGTGCTAAAGGAATGTTAATTTATTTTTTTAATCAATTTGTTTTCAGTAACAGCTTGTAACAGTTCCCAAATTAAGAACTAAGCTATTAGTTGAAACAGTTAACTAGGGAAAGGATCCAAATTAGTTTTATCATAACAAAAATGTCCTCGGTTCTAGATCCAATGAAAACAGAAGATACATTCTCTTCAGTATTTTCCTCAATCTCAAATTTAAGAGGAACGTAACTGCAGAATACAGTATCAAAGAGAAATTTTTGCTGGACTATTATGACAAGACTCTTAAAGACATAGCTCTGATGTTCATGAGCCTCAAAAAATTTACCTATGTTTCAAGCACGGCACGTAAAATATAAAAAAATACATGTTTTCAGGGATGATAGTGTTTAGATGGTGGTTCAGATGTTATTTCAGTCCAGTGGTAACTGCTACTCTTACTCAATCTAGTATGTCCATTGGGAATGCCTTGCCAAGCCAGTGTTATATACATTATTTTCCAAAACTGCTATTTTCAATAGAAGAAATTAGTCACTTCCCTAACCCTCTTCCATCCTCCTCCCCCCAATATATTAAAAGATTAGCCCATTCTTTAGATCACTTAATTTGTGATCCATACAGACCACCACTAAGTCCTGTGCATTGCACCCTTCTAACAAACTTTTGGCTTTATTAAGTGGAATTACCTGTCACCATCTTTCACAATGACTGAGCCACCATACCCCTTTCTCAAATAAATTGTTTTTTATAAATTACTCATGGTGGAAACAGTGGGAATGCTCCGAAGAATTCTTATTCAAAAGTATCATAATGCCCTACTTAGCAGCAACACTAGGGGGTAGTAATGGGAAAATTAATGTAATCAGGGAAAAGGAAGTAGGAAGCAAGTTCAGGATCAAAATATACAAAAATTCACCAGCTTTCTTTGAAATATTTAAATTCCAGGGATCAGCTAAAGAAAATACAGATCCTTGTTTTGTATTCTCTAGAACAGTAGTGAGTTGTTCTACAAAAATACAATTTTAATAATTCAAGGTCTGAACCATATTTAAAGACATTAGAATACATGCAGCAATAATTGCTTTTGTGTAAAGAAATGTTGTTTATTAAGCAAGCATATAATTTTATTGTGGAAAACTATTCGAAGAGTTGTAAGAATGGATTAGCTTGAATAAACCAGAGAATCATTCCTCTGTATGCAGAGTAAGTTTCATTCTTAAATGAAACAGGAAAAATTGTGCCTTTAATGCCCTAAGCTACCTACTAAGGGGCTGCAAGAATTGACCAAGGCACACATTTTAATGCTACTGTCATAGTTTCAAAATTTTAAAGTCATTAAAACTTTTTTTTTAATTATTTCTCACTGTTTAAAAAGCAATGATGGCATTTAAAACAAACTGAAGCAAAAAATCTGTTAAGCATTCATATTAACAAGCTTAAGTTTTCCTACTAGTAGTTATTTTACTAAACCAAAAAAGTACTGTTTAATGCCAGCCCTCTAGGTCTTTTCAAGAAGGCCAAAACACTAGGGAAAAATAAGGATATCAAATACTACAAACTATTACTGCTACTGACAGTGAGAGATTCTGTGGAGTGGGGGAGTTTGTTTCTGCTTGTACCTTCCAAGTTGCTAGGTGAGAAGACATGACTGTTGGAAAAAGTAAGCCTACTTCTACATAATTTGACCCTACTTTATTCCACAGTGCATTTTTAACTTAATTGCCTATCAACAAGCTGTATTTAAACCAAAAGACATTCACTTTTTTTTCTGAAAGCAGTTGGATGCAATACATTCCTTTTAAAGTATAAAGCCTTCAAATAGTGTTATTCCATTATTTTTCTCAATAACAAGCAGGCTAACCCTCAATTCTCTAATCATGAATAGCCCAGTTTCTACGTCATCTACTTGTCTATTTAAACACTTTGCATACTGACTGTGGCTTGATGCTTTGGGGAAGAAGACGACTCATTTTCAGGAAAACTGGCCTTAGAAGCACTTGATGATTCCTGTAAAATTCAACAGGCAATGTAAGTTATTATCTTTCTTGCAGTTTTTTTTTTAAACCCTAAAGATACTTTCTCTTTCTCTTTGCATACATAATCACACATTACCAAAAAAAAGTACTACTTTTTAAGCATTCATGATATTCTCAGATAATTATATTATAAACCTGATTAATAAACAGTGTTTTTACAAGATTTACAGACAACATTCAATCTGGGTTAATTAGCAAATATCCACTTGAATAAAATGTTAATACACACTGTATCTGCTTAGAACAAAGCCTTCATCCTTAACAAGGGGCCAATTTTTTGTATGACATTGCTATCAAATTATGAAGCACATTTATAATACTAACTTATTACAGTATACCATATAATAAATACTAAGACTTTAAAGAACAGATTAGGTCTCTGTGGTTAGTAAATAAGATTAGTACAATAAATCGTTATACATGTAAAAAAGCATATACCAGTGCTATTAATTTTTGTGAGTCATGAGCATTAATTTCTTTACAATCAAGCACTGAATTTCTAGAGATTCGGGTTTTTGTTTTAAACTAGACGTTAACTACAGATCAAAAGAAAGTAGTAAATCTCCAAAAACTAGAAAAATTGCCCATCTGGAACAAAGAAGGCATGTGTGTTTCCTCTAAAGTAATGATTGCTTTGCACAAATATACCACTTGAAAATCTGGTAAAGAACTCAGATGAAAAAAACGTCACTTGTTCTATGAAACTATTAACACATTCCTCCCCCTTCCTCTTTTTAATTCTCTCGATAGCTCTCCTAAATTCAGTTTGCTTTTCCGCATTACATAACACACTGCACACCCGTGCTTCAAAATTCACTTGGAAATCTACCTAGAGAACTGGCCCATTATTTCTTATAGTAGCATAATGACAGAGAACAGCCTAAATGTTCCATATTTTCAGATGTCTGTAAGGAGAAAAAAAAAGTTCAAATAAAGGAAATCAACATTGTTACCCCCAGGAAGGTATTTTCTCCTCTGCTTACCAACTTGTTTAGCTGGTGGCTATATACAAATATGTGCCACATCCAATAAACAGTTAACAAGGACATTTGATATCATCAAATTTTCATCTGCCATGGCAACCCATACTTTCACTTTCGAGCACTCTTTTCACTGGCCTGTTTTCATAGCATAGAGTTGTGTTGTTTTTCCAGGAAAATAAAAAGAAAATAGCTTCCCTTAGGAGTCTGTTAAAAAAGCTAACTTGGGGTTGATGTGCCTATCCAGACAAATACAAGTTGTTCTTTGTATTTAATTCTGAATTTGAGATAGCTTTCATACACTAAGCAACTCTGGAACAAGAAATCCAGTATTTGTGGTCATGATCTAGTCCCTTTCCACATACTAATTTAAAGCAGAATATATAACAGTGTGCCTTCCGGCACAATGGTAATAAAACAGGTGCGCCAATGCATTAAAGAGATTTAATCTTTCCACAGAACAACTAGTCTGCTGCTCGTCTACACACTTTTTATTTTCCCAAAGCATTAACATTGTGTTTTATACGAAACTATACAGTCTCCTTATCATTAAAAAAATGCATGCTGCCTCCATGTTTTAAAGCTGTTAGAGGAAGTTTAAGCAACTGTCTTAGGCTTTACAAGTGTGGCTCATGTAATAACCAAAAGAAGCTATATATGAGGCATTTGTACACTTACACCTTTGTTTCACTAGGTTTAGGGTCTTGGTATTTGAACACTAGGTTTTGAAGAAAAGTAAACACCCCCACTTATTCAATGTTTTACAAGAGCTTCTTCGTTCAGTGCAGTACTACATAAACGTCATTCCAAAACAGAAGTAAATCTTAAGCCAAAATATAAAATGATATGTCTTCCTTTAAAAGCGAGGCCAAAACTGTCCAACAGAATTGTTCGTGCCTGTTCAGTGTAAACTGCACATGAGGCTAGAAGTATCCACTCAGCTTTGATTTATCAGGACTCCATCCAGGCTGTCTCACACAGTGCCACAACACACTCAGTGAAAATGAATGTGTAAAGCAGAGTAGGGAGGGTAAAGGAGCAGTAGAGGAACTTCAGAATTGCTCGAGCTAAACTAATGTGTACAGGTGCAGTCTCCAGTCAAGCACAGCCCACTGCCTCCTCAGCACCACGTATGATATATTCTAAACTGACATCCCAAAAGCGTAAGATAAAATCCCATAAATCCTATTCTGAGGAACTAAATCAGCTCATGACAGCCCAACTCTCCTATACTCCATTTCAAGCAAGAAAGAGTATAATAAACCAGGGGGAAGACTGGCTGGGGGCCAATCGCCACCCAGCCAGCCCCTGAGCAACTGCATTGTGCACCACTTGTTTTTTCTTGGATTTATTTCTCTCTCTTTTTGTTATCTTCGTTTCATTACTACTATTACTAGATTTTAGTTTATTTCAGTTATTAAACTGTTTTTATTTCAACCCACCACTTTTACTTTTTTCCACCGATTTGCCCCATCCCACGGCAGGGGCAGGGAGGAATGAGCAAGCAGCTGCATGGTGCTTAGTTGCTGGCCATAACAACGTACCAGAAACAACAGGTTGAGCAAGTAACATTCTGGGCAGCAGATCCACTGTCATTACAACTACTGTGTTTTGTACATTTAATTTTGTCTTTGACATCTGAGATTACACAGGCCCACTTACAGGCTTTTCTCCATACTCCCAGATCTACATTCATTTATTTTTTCCCTGTATCTATAGAAAAAGGGAGCTTACAATGTTATTTCCTGGTATCTCATTACAAGTAGTCTGTGCTAAGATTTTAGCAAAGTATTTCAGTTTCCAAGAATCTTGGGATGGACTGCTACAAAGTTATCGAAACCAGCAAGTCACCACCCTACAACACCCACTTCAGTTCCTCCCCCACGGGGGCAGAACAAATGTCCCAAGAAACCACAGAGACAGAGGGAGAGCAAGGGAGAAGCTCTGTCTCCTTGTTGGCTTACACAGCATCTGTTACTGTGCAACCCAAAACAGACTATCAAGAACATGCCCTAAGAACAGGCAGAAAACAGCTTTTGTTGTTACTGTCCCATAGCTCTTTTCAGACTAAACACCCAGCTCAGCTCCAGACAGTATCAAAGCCAAGCATTTCAGCACTTCCAATACTGTCCTCTGTCCTTCAATAGCAATACTACAACCCCACTGTAACCACACACAGCTTTTCCTCTTTATTACAGTGGAGATCAATGGAACAGGCATTAAAGCGATAAATCCACTGTATAATACTACTATTTACATCTTTAAGGCATAGTTTTTACTTTAGCAAACACAATTTTTATTGCAATTCTACGAATATTTCAATTATTCATCTGTAATCTTTTAAGTGTATTCCTACTTGGTGTTTCCTACAATTAAAACATTCAAGTGTGAAACATCACTATACCTTACATGACAACCTCACCCACATCCATAATTCTTGAATTCAAAATTTACACTCCGTAGCCTAAACTGAATTGGAAGATTCCTAATTATAAGTAAAATAGATGTACACACCAAATCCTGAACTAACACTAGTTAAAATACTTCAAGGATAACAAGAAAAGAGCTACTACTCACAAAGTAACAGCAGTAAAGTTATAAAACAGCCTTTGATTTCTCTAATGTTATACACAGTGATACAAAAGAATGTAAGAAAAATGAGATCTCAGAAATCCATGCATACTCATTTCTGTTAGATTAAATATTTTGCACATCAGAAACGGTATTCCAGCATGCTGTTTAACTTGCTCCTACCTTATCGTTGGTGTCCAACACAATTGTGCTGTGCCTCCATTTTGTTAAAACTATTGGTTCTTGTAGTCGCCTGTCCAGACTCCTACTCTTTATTATATCTCTCTGCTGCTGTGGTGAAGCATTATACTAAAGAAGAGAGAAATCAAACTATGAGTAGAATCTAATTCATGCAAACAAGACTTGCACAAACCACTCATTCACCTTAACAGTGCAAACTTTCAGATTCCTGATGTCACCCAAGGGTGTGGAAATAGCCTTGGTTTTAGCAGAACTGTCCTTTCTGCTGTAGTCCTCTCTGAGGCAATAACTAAGACTGTCCTGTTGGGATAATACTCTCATTGGCAGATAGATGTTTGATTTCTTGTGCAACAGTTTACTGCTTGCAACAACAGTTTGCAATCGACCAGCATATTGAGAACCACCAAGGAATTAGAATAAATACAAGATTTAAACATTCACTCTTCATATTGAACTGACAGTACTACACCACCTGGCCAGCTCTTGTGTATGAAAAGGAAAACCCTATTATCCTGCAGTAAGGTATTTAGATTGAGAGTTGATTGCCTGAACAGAATTCTTGACTCAAAGGTTTGAGATGCCTAGGAGAGGAGACATGAGAATGAGGACTTGCTTTTTCAGAAAAATCACATCAAATTACTAATCAAAGGATTTGCTAGTGTGGAATGTACATAAGCACAGAAAATAAATATTTAGCAAAAAATAATTTTAAGACTCAGCAGAGCTGTAACAGCCAGGAAGAGAGTGGATTTATCATAACATAGGTTTTCTAATATCTCCAGAGCATCCAAAGATGTATAGGCTGAGAAAACATGAAGGTCATGAGATGGACCCAGAATTTAGTTAGATCTCACCATTGCATCTTATTTTATTTATTAGTAGCATTTCCCTTTTAAATCATCACCACCAACTGAGGCAGCATTATAAAGAATTATAAAAGTATTTCAAACAAAGTTTAATACTGAAAATACAGACGAGACATCAGTTTATGGGTTTTTTACTTCAGTAAAAATCTCATTCTTTCTATTCAGTATTAGAAGACTAAAATCTGTACAGAGAAATGTAAGGCAGCATTTGCAGAGTCAGGTAAAGGACCAAAATCCACTGGGTAAGAAGTAACAAATGAAAGTCAAGTGCCCTTTTTATTTAAAAAGGCTAAAGCAGTTATCTTTGCAAGCAGACTGAATTCTACAGTTTTGCCACTGATTCCTACTGCAAGCTTGGAGCCTCAGGTCTCCAAAGACAGAACAACCTATACCTACACATATCAACAGAGCATGGCAACATTTAACCTAAATAACATGAATGCTAAATTACATAACACAGTTACATTTATTGCCCAAATAAAGAACCAGCATTACTACTGCCATGGCAGACACTACACTTGTGTTATCTTTGTATTTTACTGTGAACCCACTTAATGCTCCAGTAAGTCAGTAGATGCTTAAAAGGTGAATAACTTGAATGTTGCGTTACATTATTTCAATATGCACAAGAGTAGAAAAATGCTCCCAGGTGAATAGATCTTGCAGTACTGAGAATAAAATTTGGTAGCTTGTGTATAGACAGAAATGTACTGGTTATCACGGCAGGAAGTCAGTTCTGAGATTGCACTGACTTTGTACTGGGTTCAGAACATTTACACTCACATGACAACTGCTTCCTAAGTGGTGAGGTTTAAGCAACTCTCAGTTTGTCCCCTTGTTAAATCAAAAGCTGAACCATCATTCATGCTGCAAGGAATCTAACGCTGTTTACATTCTTGTTATGGAAACATCCATTCTGCAGATGCTCCTACAACTCAAAACTGTGGCAGCAAGCTAAGCAACATGCAGCAGAATTGCCTGTCTGTATTACAAATGAAATCTAAACACTTTTCAGCAGAATCATGTCTAAATCACAGAAGGTTGTCACAAACAGCGGTCCTTGCAGCAGTTATAACACATTTAAATGGGCAACTCAAATGTATTTCTTTCTGAAATAAATTGTTCTGTTTCATAGCAAGAGATTTACACTTCAGTGACACTGGTGAATATTATTTCTGGAAATCCTTCATGCATTTTCCATTTGAGTAACTCAAGGAAATTAAATTTAAACAGTCAAAGACTTATTTTAAAAGTAATTTATCTTTAATTTAAGTCTATGTTAAGAGTTCGGATACAGGCACATGCCTAAATACAGGTGATCTATACTTAAAAGGTGCCTTTGATCTCTAACAGACAACCACGTCCTGAAGGAGAAAGGACATGCAAAGTAATAGGAAATTCTAGTTTTATAACACATTTAATAAGAAAGCAAAGCAACAGTATATGGAGCTCATTAACAAAGCACTGTTAACAACTCAGGAACACTGAGCTATATGCATTTTACCAGCTTAAATAATTTGCATTGGTGATACAAACACTGTTAGTAAACTGACAAGCCTTTAAAGTAAACATTTGACCTTTCTGTCCCATTTCCTCACAATAAAAGCGTCAAGTAAACACTTGGGGGTTGGAACTAGATGACCCTTCCAACCCAAACCATTTTATGATTTTTTGCTCAGGTGGTTATGGGTTGGGGTTTTTTGTTTTACTCGTTACAGGTAGCAGAACACACTACTAAGGGGGAAAAAAAGAAAAAACTTACGTATTTCTGGGCTCGAGACAAACCTCCAATTTTAAAATAAATGGATTAATCTGTGATCTCCAAAAGAGAATCACAGTGAGATACAGATACTGTTTCAGACTGCATTATCACACTGAACTAGCCATCTACTAGATCAGAGAGGGTCCACTGGCTAGAGAGAAACAGCCAGAGCTAGTAGCCTGGCCACGTCAGATGACACCACCCCTGCTACTCTTTGGTCTACATCTACCTAACCTTCTTAGTTCAAAAAGCCTTGCAGAACAGTTTCAGGTCAGATTCATTTATTGACACTCTATAAGACCTGCAGAACTGATGTCTCTCCTAGAGGCACTTACAACAGTATTTCTCAGTGTTTATCAGCAACAAAAAGCAACTAGGTTGGGCTCTCCAGCCCTCAAAAAAATCTTATCTTTACATAACTAAGCAGGCTTTCCATGCCTACACCTTGGTACAATCCTTAAGACAGATCAGGCAAGGGCCATACATTGCAATAAAATTGACTCATTCAAGACTACACACTGCCTGATAGGACGATCTCTGATACACTATGTGCCTTAATAGCATCTTCTTAGGATGCAGTGTTATTTTCTGAATTCTAAGACTTTTGATAATGTAGCACACAACTCCAAATATACACACTACTGCTGCCTGAAAATCCTCCAGAAACTCAAATTTGTCCCATTACATTAACCCCTCCAGCACATCAACTCTGTTTGTTCCTATCAGGAAGGGAGGCCATGAGCAAGATGTTCATAATCTGACCGCATGCACCAAGTAACACAGGCTTCTTGTTAAAACAGCTCTTGGCATAAGAGTAAGGACACCAGTGGTGTAAATTTTTGCCACACAGGGTTATTTTAATTACTGAATTCGCACAGTGTCTTCACCAGCTACTTAAAAGCTTTCTTTGTCTCGGTGTAAAATTTTCTAACCCTCTCAACTGTCAGAATGATTTATATTTAATTTTAACCTGATACATGGCATGGCTCACTCTGTCCTAGCCTAATTGTAACTGAAATAAATGTAACACCCCTGAGTTATTTGTAGCAGCTGTCCACATTCTTATGGAGGCAACCGACACAGATCTGTCGGCTTCAAAAAAACAACAAAAAAAAATATTTCCCTTGGTTTGCATTAACAACATCCTCAGACAGATGAAAGGAAACCGGGCGGGTGAAAGAAGAAAAGAGTAGGAAGCAACAGACAGTTAAAGTTAGTAAATTCACAAAGTTATGCATTTTACTCTCCCTTCCTGCAATCAGAGAGCAAAACAGCAGTATTTGAAAATATTCTGATATCCTAGTACCCTTTAGTACCTTATATGCTCTACCATGTTGTTTGCAGTTATCCCAATAGACTATCTGAAATCAACGATTTATTTATTTATTTATATGTTGCCTCAAAATAAAACCACTCTGTAGTGTTACTACTGTCATTGGCTTTAAATAAACTTTTTTGGTGCTGCGATAGACATAACACCCATGTTACAGCTTTTGCTTTTCTTAACTGAATCAATAACACATTTTTCTTAAGCCTACATAAATAAAAAAGTTTTCAAAGACTTCATTCTCTTTCTTTCTCTAGGGAAAGAAGATTCCTCATTCTCTGCCATAGGGCATCTGGGTGGAAGCAGTTAAGACATCAGCCATGCTGAAGGAACAGAATCTACACAGAACAGGGAGACCACTGGGACAAACAGCTCTATTTCAAATGTAAAAGTGACTGAAAGACACCTCTGAATAATCCCCTCTGTTCACTTCACCGCCTTGGACATCCACTGCTTCACCTTCTAACCTTCAGGATCACTAAGACAGCTATCCCTGAAGAACTCCAAGTCAGGACTGATTGCCACAGGTCCTGATGCTTGCCCAAGCACAAGCGGTGAGCACTTCCCCCCTCCCTTCACACATACACCCCCTCTCCATCTTATTTGATAAGAGAGAAGGTAGAGTGGGAACTACCACGCACCAAGACAAACAAAGAAGACCAGACCAGGCCTCCTGAGTACAGATATACACATTACAGAGAAGGAAAAAAAAAAATAAATAGTCTGACTGCCTTCTCATACTTATCTCAGGTTTGTCATACCACTTGCACTTTTGTCCTTAAAAGCCATCTAGATCATCACATCAGCTGAAAACGTCTCAACTTTCACCAACCAATCCCAAATTTTGCAACAAGAATGTGAAGATGATTTTGTTATTGCTAATGATAGTGCACTGACTTACAGTAGATATGAATGCCAACACACATTTGCTTAAATTATAAAAATTGTATTAGAAAACTGTGTTTCTAGAATAGGGTTATAGCCTCTCAACACAATGTAGATACTGTTCTTTCACTACACAGAAAATAAACATTTTATCAGAGTGACCTATGCAGGAGTGAACTTTTATTTGCTGGTTTGTTTTTTTTGGTTGGTTGGTTGGTTTTTGTTGTTCTCCTACCACCACCACCCCACCCCCCCCCCCAAAATAATTGGCAAGAACCATCAACCAAATGCAGCAGAATGCACAGGCATAGAAGAAAACTTAGTGGTTAAAGATTATTACCCATTTTAAAGAATAATTTGGTATGTTGTTCTCTTCCACTGCAAAAAGCTGGGTCACACTCATCATGAGCCTTAATAGCCTTTTCAGCAGTTGTCTAATCTACTCTATCTCAGATGTCATCTTTAGCCAGAGGCATTCAGCTATTCCTAGATGTTATTTAAATATACATGACTGGAAGGCTTTCTATGAGACTGTCTAAAGTAATTTGTTTTGTAGCTACCCCCCCCTCCCCATCATATACCCTCACAATTTTTAACACATGTACAAGAATACTGGAAGTGTTATTCCCAAGCGGGTTCACATTTACAGTTAATGCTTTAACAGTCAAGACTTTTAATGTTATAGTATTAAACTCAGCTACTGTGCTATCTCCAGAAATCTCCATATGATTTTTAGTTCTAATGAAGTACATATTATAAAGAACCATGTAACAAAAGGATTCTCTTATTTTTCTGGTTTAACACCACTATCCCATCAATTCATTTCACAACAAATTTTGGAAGGCAATATTTGAACTAAATACACTGGGGAAAAACTGGCCAAGAATAGGGTTACTTCCCTAGTAACTTAATCTTCATTTAAGCAAGAATTACAATGCTGAAGTCTTTCTATTGTTTTCTCTCGTCACTCATGAGAGTTTTCAATATAGATTATTTTTCTTCAAAGCAGTTATGCAGTCTGCATTGTCTCTCCATTTCATTCATTCTTAAGCACTTTTGGAACCAGCTTCAGTAAGATTTTCAAGAGACTAATCTTCAATCATGCTTCAATTACAAGTGTAACATCTCTGCTGTATGTTCTACAGATATATAGTCACATAAACTAGCTAAATCTTTTGCTGAAATATTTAATCTATTCCACAGCATTTAAAGTTAAAAGCTATGTATTTCTAGAAATCCTTAGGCTCTTGGATCATGAATTCACGAGTCAATTGCTCATTTACTTCTGTTAACATATTTGCTGCCACCCAAGATTTGCTAGTTTCAAGAAGGAATTGAATTAAATAATGCCCAAATGGCTCATTAACACATCAATACTAGACCCCAACCTTTTATGCTAATATGCCTAAGGTAACAGTTCTGGATTATTTTTGTGACTTATTTATGTGGTTTAAAGCCAAACATAATTTCCTGTTTAGTTCAAATCCAAACCCAGTCAATCTTAGTGGAAAGCAACTTCCTCACAGTCAGAACTTTCTGCATTGCAGGTCATAGAATTAAGTACCCCAGACATTATTCCCCAAAATTAATTTAAATTATACATACTGAACTGACAACTGCTTCTGGTAAAATCTAGTCTAGAAGATTTCCAGACTTTTAATTAATCTAATAGCTAATCAATGGCTAAGTAGCTTTTAAAACTAGTAGTTACAGATTATAGTAGGTTTATGTATGTTACAAGATTTAAGTTATCTAACACATCAGACCAGCATAGGAAAATCCACAAAGCTAACTTAACTATTCAGTGACTCAGATACAAATTCTTTTACTGACAGAACAAAACAGCCTAGTATATAGCTTCATTCATAAATTTCAATGTAAATATTTACTCACAAATATTATTAAACCATTATCTATTAAGGTTGCTCCCTTCTAAGAGGAAGTGACTTAGGTCACCAATTTCTGGACTGGTGGAACAATAATTGAGGAGCATGCTCTTTCATATACTTACGCATACAATTGTGTGAAATTTTTTTTTAATGGTCACCTTACTACATAGAATTGAACAAATGATGTAGTAGCAGGAAAGACACATACAACTGCATCATTATGACAAATGTCCTATAGTCTTTCAAAATTAAAATGAGAATTAAAGAGTATTAGGTACATCCTCAGACTACCAAGTGTCCCTAGCTCTGTAGCTTTCCAACAGCTTCTCATTTTCATTCCAAAAATAATAAATACAAGAACACACTTCTGGTGAAACTGTATCATTCTCAAAGATACCACAAAACACTGCTGAAACTTTTGGTTTTCAACACTTGTCTGTATAAGCATTTTGGACAATACTAAAAATAGACTACATTTTCTCACGAACATTTTGTAGTAAAAAAAAAAATGTTCTTCTTTCCTGTAGAGGTTTTCTTTATCACAGCAAAATCACAGATACTGTTCTGCAGCCTTACATGAAAAGCTCAGTTCAGCAAAGATACAAGATCATCTTTGACATCTGAATAGTCGCATACATCCATTTTTTCAAATCCTTTTTTCTCTCTTCACAATCAGGAATTCCACAAAAATGCAAGAAATAACCAAGTGCGATATCCAAGTCCTCTTGTTGTGAATAACTCCCATTAAAGGCCCCATAGAACATTTATTGAGGAGGAAGAGAAAAGCCTAAGTTGTCAAAGTTTCTGTTTTAGATCACTCACCTTTGGTAGCTCCCATTCTGATCGGGAACCATCAGCACTGTAGTAATATGGTCTGCCTTGTTCATCTGCGTGTTTTATCCACTGTAGAAAGAAATGTCATGATAGAAAATGTAATCTGAGTGACAGTCATAACACAGTAAATCTCTGATACTTGGGATTTAAATTAATTTATAATAAAGTGCCATCCGCTTCAGTGTATAGTGCACAACCTCCATTAACTAACCAAGGTTAATTAACAATGAGAGCAACACAGTTTTCAGCTTTCCGAACTGTGTTCACTGATATTTTTTCCTTCTCTAACTCCTCAGAAAATATTCCTCCAATAACACACAAGAGATTGTGATACACATATATTTCCAAAGATGGGATATCTCACTCTTGCCAACACTATGGTGTCAGTCCAAGGAGGCACAATCTTTGCAGCAGATCTGTCTAAGGATTTTATACATAAAATTACAGAATTACAAGAAGCTCAACCAGAAACTGCTGATAATTTAAGATACAACTGCACTTGTTGAACAACTCAATTTTTAAAACACCAACAGGAACATGAGATACAGTTCCTAAATAAATCATCAAGATGATATAATTTTTGTAACCTCTATAAGCAACTCCCACAATCAAAGAGCTAAAACTATGCCAACTGTGACCAGTTATACAGAAAGGAAATAATTGTAATGAGCAAGTCTACAAGGAGACCATACAAAAATATGCACATTTACACTCACAGCAAGGCTCTTGGGTGAAGCAGGTTTCACAAGATTGCCTTCTGACAAACTGTGATAGGAAACCCTCTTTCCTATCAATCCCAGTGCAATTTAAAAAAAAGTTGTTATATTTCCCAAAACATAGGTATGTGCTCTACAGATGGTTAGCAGAAATAGAATAGCAGGATAAAATTCCCAAACTGACATAGAACTCAATTATTTTAAAACTACTTTAAAAAAAAAAAAAAAAAGAACACCACAACAAAAAAAACACCACAACTTGCATACATCAACCAGAGAAGAGATGGTGCTATAATAAGATAAACTACTGATTCAATGAACGTTTTCTGAAGTTAAAAAAAAAGGCAACTTTAGTGAATAATTAGGAAAATGGATTGCTTTACAAATATAAACAAATACTAATCCTCATTCATCCTAGTCATTAATACTACATGGGGGAAATTTTTACGACTGCCCAGAATCACAGGAAGTTGTCAGTAGCAAATAGGTAATCAGAATAGAACATAAATCTGCTGATATGGCTGTAGTTTAATTTAAAAGTTTGGCTACATCTGAAAGCAGTACTGAAAATCTCAAGTAAAGTAAATGATGAAACCGATAAAGCAGCAATATTTTCAGTTTGACACCATCCTAAATGGAATGCCTATATAGACAAGAACAGCTCTTAAATGACAGTAAGAAAAATGTTATATTGGTAAAGTTCATTCCTGAAGTGAAAACAAAAGGATGGGGGAGGGCAGAAATTTTTTAAAAAATTATACATAGTATGTTCATTTAATACAATCTGATACCCAACTGGAAATAAGAAAGCTTTGCCTAAATAGTAAAGAACATACATAAGGGAAAAAAAAAAAAACGCAGATCAGTTGCTAAAGTTTCATGCATATTTAAAAAACAAATGGAGGTACAGCTGAGGTATTCTTTTCACTTCTAGAAAAGAAATCTGCATTTCTAACAGTGAATTAGTGGAAAAGATTTAGAACACATGATGAGAAGAAGGAAAAAGTACCTTTTCATTAGTATAGTCATTGGTATATAAGGTTTGACCATGTTCATCCAACTCTTCTGACCAACCCTTTGGAGGAGAACCATACTGACTATCTGACTGGCTGTAACAAGAACTGTGGTCGTTTTCTTCTGATGAAAGATGCTACAAGTAGTCAGAAACACACAAGGAGTTTTGAGAATGAAAGCGCTTTAAAATCTGAAAGATCAAAGATTATTTGACTAGAAAGAGAATAGTAATAAATTCAGGGAGTTCACATTCTTATATCCCACATCAGAGAATAAGAGATACATTTTTACAGTACAGAAATATTTGATAATTGCTAGGCAATTCAAAGTATTTTCAGAACTGGTTATATATACTGATACAATTTTTTTTTAAATTCTGCTATAGATTTCAGCTACTGAAATTTAAACTCTGATGGTTTTGCTGCTCCAAATTTTATTCCTACAACTTTACATTACTGAATGATGGAGAGAGTTAGCTTTAGTAATCTGCATTGTCTCAAAAAACTTGGGAGATCGGCTAACTTGGTTTTCTAGCAACATCCCAAACTTCATTCCTAAATCCTTTTCTTCCCTTTCCAAATAGTATCTGGAAACACAATAATCATTAAGGACAACTTTAAACTCCATTTGCACCTTTGTAGGTCCCAGCACTTTACAGTACTTGTGCAATGCATCCTAACTCCTTCCAACTCTGGTAAGTGTGACAATGAGCAACCCAAAAGCAAGGCTTTCTACCTCACACAGCTAGCCAAACTGTAAGATTATTTCCTGAAGGTAGAAGTAAATTATAACATAAAGAACAAGTTTGACATGTAAAGTAGAAAAAAGCACCCATCCATGCATTAAATAAATAAATCTCCATGTATTTATCTCCCACAATATCTCTATGTCACAGTCTCCTGAGGAATTCAGTGTAGATTCCCTTTCACACTATCTTGGATCCCTGGCTAGTAGGAGGCATAACACTAAAGAGGGAACACATCCTGCTATTTAAGAAATCACGAGAGTTAAATATTGGCTAAGGTTCAGTAACACAAGTACAAGGGTTTGGAAGAAAACTAGAAAGCTGGAGAAAGACAGAATTTCAATTTTAAACTAAAAAACCCCCTCCTGAAAAACTTAAATCTTCCCCAAAAATATCCAGTTATCAGAAACTCACCAGTTTTAAAAGTCAGTGGTTTTAGACTATGTGTTTAGTGACATTTCCAAATGATCATTACACAGGCTTTTGGTGTTACCTTCTGAATACCTTACCACTTGTGTGACACAAACTCCCTATGCTGACACGAGCCAGCTTACCAAGCACAGCAAAACTCATGGGAAATTTTCAGGTCATTAATAAAATAACATGAACAAATGTAAGCGTCCTCTACAGCCTACAGAATGTGAGCATGTAAACTACGGATTAAACAGTGCCACCTCTCTTGCACATGGGGTAATATGAAATTCTAAAGTGTTAAATTTCTAACCACTTGGGGAAAAAAAAAAAAAAAAAAAAAATCTTCAATTCCGTTTTTGCACTTCAAGAAGTAAGACTGAAGAGTTGGTAAGAGTGCTATTGGCCCCATATGAATTACTGCTTTAGAAGATAAGATATATTACGTCACACGTATTTAACTTAATATTTAACCATTAAAATATAATGTTAAATTCATTGGCATATGTTCAAAGTAGTAATAATAGAAATGTCCAGAGTCTACCATTAACAGCAATTATTACCTAATAATGTAATGCATTTGTATTTGCCTCTTCCAAGCAACTCCTGATACTGAGGAAACACTGCACACATGTAAAACTAAATGAAGACTTAAAAAATTAAAGCTTTCCTAGGAAAACCACTTTTGTTCCGTGAGAATGACTGTTAATGTGTCTATCTGTAAGATGCCTAATAACAGCCTTGATGCTTCAAGGCTTAACTAATCTTAGGGACCTTTGCAGACCTAAACTTAAACAAAATTCACCAGTTTTTACAAAGTTTACCAAGGCAAGGCATTCCCTTGTCCCTCAGCTAGTAGAAACAACTGCTAAAAGCTGCACCAACAGGGACTAGAGAACACTGGCCAAACCACATTCAGCACCTTTCAATTGAACTTTCAACACTTTTTCAGTATTAACTGCCTATACTATCATCCATGCTTTTTCTTAGAGTCTCATCCCCCAATTATACTAGTCCACATTTAAATAAAGCCATCTTAAGCAGACAGCTGTCCAACCTTACACCTTGTCATAACTTTGCTCTGACACTAAACAGAATTAACAGAAAAGGTCGCCCACATCATCACTTCTACTGTCTCCTCTCCCTTGGCTTTTTACCATTTACATGGAAAGTTCTTGAGGGCAGAGACCAGTTCATCACCATACATTTAATAAAAAAATGAACAGTTATGGTCTCTTGTCTATCATTTAACCAGACTAGTTTTGAAAGTTACCACTACTTCTAAAAATCAAAATAATAATAAAAAAATACTGACTAAAGAAGTTAGCATCCCTTTATTACCCTTTGTTTATTTTGAAGCAAAACAGAGGGAACAAAACTGCACCTTGGCCACACGTTTTAAGTGTAGTTTTTCAATTTAAATAGAATTATGTTGCTTTTCTGCAGCTTGTTGGTTTGTTGGCCTCTACTTCACATTATGGTCTCTTTGCTAGGTATTAGAGGTTTGCCTTTCTCTGATATGATGACATCTCAATCCTTTTACAGTCCACCTTAATTAAATTGCTTTACAATATGACAAATTTCTCCCAGTTACTGCTAAGCACTCCTTCCTCCAATACATTAACAAGTCACTACTTCTGATAAATTTTATCTTTAATTCCAAAAATCTTGATAAACTTTCCTAGATGCCTTGTCAATAGGACTTCAATGCTTCCCCCACCCCATTCAAATATAACAGTTTTAGGTTATGGCAGTTTCTTGTGCCATAGCTGTTACCAACTTCTTTGACAAATTAGGTACAATTTTGCCCCTTCTTAATTATCCAATCAAATTCATTTTGCTAATTACAAAGTTCTAAGACCAAACTATAAGCTATTTCACATTCTAATATATTACAACTATATTAGAACAAATGAACATTTAAAGTTATCATTTTTACGTCACCTTGCCATTTTGCTACCTAATACGATACAAGCTCCTCTGAGGATAAATCAGCAGATACAACTAGTATTTAACCTTCCTGCATATGCCCTTCTATTACTGAATGTAAAGAGAATGAGCATAACTCAGACTAGTGTGTAAAAGCCAAATTAACCTCATTATAATAAATTAAATCTGGTTTTACTAATATTATTAAGACATATTTGCTCTAAGTCTTCATAATCAGACAAAATTTGGGATGTCCTATATTTTAGTGTCGCTTAGGCTCAGACCTCAACCTTTGAGCATTTTTGTTTTATTATTCAGAGGTCATAAACAAAAAGGTGAAGATGAACAGTGGAGTGTGAAGTATGCTTCCAAATGCAGAACAGAAAAGGAGGGGGTGGGGGGGGGAAAGGCAGCTTCAAAATCAACATATGACTGCTGGAAAGTGGATTGACATGACCTTGCAATATATCTCCCTAGACTCAAACTTTGATAACCCGGTCAGAGTGAACACAAATTACTTCAGGAACTTGTGCTACTGGAAATATAAACTTGTGTCTAGTTGAAAATTAATCAAAACATGAATCATCCATCGGTCTTAAAGACTGAAAATATGATATATAGAACTGTCCCAAGGCCCATCCATGATACCTCAAGCATCACAAATAAAGAGAAGAATCAAGCTGAAATAAGTTACAGGGAATAAAAAAAAAAATAATTTAAAAAATCAAGCTTTCTGAACATGCAACCATGTGGTGAAGTCATGGTACAGAAGTATGAGTAAGAGTCAGAAGGATCACTGGCAGATGGGAAGGGAGAAAGTTATTGTCTTTCCATGAAAGGAAGAATGATAACAACAGAAAACCAGATATACTTACTACAAGGAGAGTTACTACTCAAAAAAAAGCAATCACCTTGTCCAGACCAAAAAGGGTCTTATCCAGCAAAAGCACAGCCAGTAACAAATTAACAGACCACTGTCAGAGATACCAAAGCCAGTCACAAACATTTCGCCAGTTTACCTGATGCTGCCACTAGCCTGTGGCAAGAAAGTTTCACAGAGTCATTTAGGTTGGAAAAGACTTTTAAGATCGAGTCCAACTTAACTTAGCACTGTCAAATCCACCACTACACCATGTCCCTAAGTGCCACATCTACATGTCTTTTAAATACCTCCAGGGATGCTGACTCAACCACTTCCCTGGGCAGCCTGTTCCAATGCCTGACAACCCTTTCGGTGAAGACATTTTTCCTAACATCCAATCTAAACCTCCCCTGGCACAACTTTAGGCTATTTCCTCTTGTCCTATCACTTGTTACTTAGGAGAAGAGACCTACACCCACTTCGTTACAACCTCCTCTTGAATAGGTATAGAGAATGATAAGGTCTCCTGCCAGCCTTCTTGAAACTAAACACCCCCAGCTCCCTCTGCCACGCCTCGCAGGACTTGTGCTCTAGACCCTATACCAGCTTTGTTGCTCTTCTTTGGACACACTCCAGCACCTCAATGTCCTTGTAGTGAGGGGCCCAAAACTGAACACAGTATTCAAGGTGCAGCCTCACCAGTGCTGAGTACAGGGGAACGATCACTTCCCTAATCCTGCCGGCCACACTAGTTCTGAGAGAAGCCAGGATGCCATTGGCCTTCTTGGCCACCTGGGCACACTGCTGGCTCATATTCAGCCCACTGTAGACCAACACCCACCCCTAGGTCCTTTTCCGCCGGGCAGCTTTCCAGCCACTCTTCCCCAAGCCTGTAGCATTGCTTGGGGTTGTTGTGACCCAAGTGCAGGGCCCGGCACTTGGCCTTGTTGAACTTCGTACAATTGGCCTCAGCCCATCGATCCAGTCTGCCCAGATCCCTCTGTAGAGCCCTTCTACCCTCAAGCACATCAATACTCCCACCCAATTTGGTGTCATCTGCAAACTTACTGAGCGTGCACTCAATCCCCACACCCAGAGCATTGATAAAAGACATTGGTCGAAGACATTAAACAGAACTGGCCCCAATACTGAGCCCTGAGGAACACCACTTGTGACCAGCTGCCAACTTGATAGAACTCCATTTACTATCACCCTTTGGGCTCAGCCATCCAGCCAGTTTTCTACCCAGCAAAGAGTATGCCCATCCAAGCCATGAGCAGCCATTGTCTCCAGGAGAACGAGGTGGGAAACAGTATCAAAGGCTTTAGTAAAGTCCAGCGAAACAACATCCACAACCTTTCGCTCTTTGGCTGTTTAAATGTTTGCCAGTCACAGCTGCTATGAAGGTCACTGCCAAAGGCAAAGAAAGGGTCCCTTTTCCCTTTCTCTTCTGTTTCTGGCACTACCAACCCATAGGTAGATTTCTACAGCAGCGCTTCCAGCAATCTAAAATTTTTTTGAGCAGCTCACAATTACATTTTAAAACTAAACATTGCAATAGGCTCAAAAGGAAATCCACCTAAATGATACATATTTGAAAAGGTTCTAAAAAGTGAAATATGTACAAGATTTCTTGATAAATGTTTGCTTTCTTTCAATCTGGAAAGCGATTAACTTGTTTGAACACAAGAGCACTGTTTTAAGCGTATTTAAATAGGAATATCCATCTCTCAATTATTCCTTTGCTTTATCTGCACCACTGCAGTTCAGATAAATACACACCACTGTCTGGCTCTCCCTAGCAACTGGCTGCACAGATTACATCTGCACCTCAAATATTAGCCCAAATCATCTTTTAACATAAATAATTTCATGGTAAGCTTCAACTCTCTTAAGCAAGGTCTAGCGGCAAAGCTTTCACAAAAGCAAAAAGTTTGCATAATGAAAAAATCCACTGATACCTCTAAAGAATACGTTTACGGCCTGAATGTAAATCTAGTCAAAAGTTCCTACAGATAATTGCCAACAGCAGGGGTGGATTTCCTCCCCCCCATCAGCATTTGCTACCCTTGGATGTAGACACTTGGCTAGGTAAAGCTTCTAGCACAGTAATTTTAATGTTTCCATCTTCTGTTCTCTAGGATATCATTCACAGAATAAAGGATTTTCTCAAAGTTAACACAGTTAGATAATAAAATATTGCTCCTTTAACTGCTCTTTTTCCTAGTTTGTTCTAGGGCTATCCAAGGCAGAAATCACTGACGAGTGTGTAAAAGCAAATCTCCTAAGCAAATGATTAAATAAAATGCTGCAATAAGTTATCCAGCTAAGCTTGGTTTTCTATTTGCTATGATTATTCCACCTCTTTAAGAACTCATGAATTAAAATCTGAGTTTGAACAGTCACATATGCCCCTTTTTTTAAAAAAAATAAACTTTTTTAAAGCATCATATAATATTTTGAATTATTAATAGTATGTATAAACCTAAAAACTAAAATAAAAATAAATATATTTTAATTTGATAAAAGCTTCAATTATGTCAGTATTTCTGATGTGGGTAGAAAGTGCTGTGGAACTCCATTAAGTCTGGTTTTGACGCCAGAACTCTAGAGTTCTCTACATCCATCTTAATCTCTAAATCCATTTTAATTTCTCTCTACAAAAATATTTTCCTCTATCAGAAAAACATCTCATTTAAATTCACTGAGATAGCATTAACCAAGCAGTAGCAAACACCTGTATATCCCCTGCCTTTGTTTTACTGTGTATTTAACTGATATTAATAAAAATAATATAATTCCCCTTACCTTTTTCAATACATCCTCATAAATCCTGCTTCTAGAAACACTGTAACACTCCTTTTCCCCCCACTTCTCTGCCAAAAATGTGTCAAATACACTGGAGAAGAGAGTGTACTCCATGTCAGAGAAGTTACAATGGTTGTCTTACTCTATTATCATTTATTGTCCTATTAGTTTCAAAATACCTTAATTTTCCTTTAGCTTTAAACAAAAAGCTGCAAGACCTGATGAGAGACTGTACGGCATTTTTACAACTTACTACTCTCGTACATAGTTCACGTACACATTACTATACACAAAAGTGACTGAACAACTACATTGTTTACTACTTCATACGAAGACACAAGACAAGACCAGAAAGACAAATGAAGCTACTCCTTGACACCTCGAAACTCAGCAATACCAAATTCCATGGCAAAACAGCATTCACATGCGTTACTGCTTGTGATCTCAGAAGGAACTACCTCATGATCTGCATGGCTGTGAGAATCCCCTTTATTAATGCTTGCGTCTCGGGCCCACCGTGGAGGTTTCCAGGTTCGTTCCTGTGATCCTCTGTTGTAGTAATAACAGCGTCCTGTTGTATCTTTATGGGTTTCCCATTCCCCATTTATTTGGACTGGAGCACTTGTAGGTAGTGGCGGAAGTGCAGACTGAGATATTTTCAGTTCTTGTAAATTAGCATAAACTGGTGAATCAGGCCTCCCTTGGCTTGGTGGAGTAGTTGGCTATTGAGAGAAGAAATGCATTGTTAAAGAGCAAATGAATTTTAGAATGGTCCCTTACAAATCAGAATATATTACAGTAGTGAAACAAACCAACAAACTCCCTTTTTTGTTGTTAAGTACAAAAGCACAAAGGACAGACACAAAATGCTGAGGCGTGAAAACATTAGATCGTTAACTACAAGGTAGATATCACAACCTGTTCTTATTTAATACTGAAACATTTTTTCAGCATTTCTCCAGATGACAGCTGATAATTATGTCTTATAGTGGATTTGAAATAGACTGGAATCATCATCAAAATAATTATATGCCTGCCTTATTGAAAAACTTAAGCTTTACAGTTCAAGTATTGCTCAGGAACTGTAAATAATGTCATCTTGTTCAAGACAAAACATAGCATTTCTGAGATGCCACTTGTTAGGCAAAAATGGCTCCCCAACCTTTCCCCCTCACTGCTAACACAGATGATGGTGAATGCAAAAGCAGCACTTTTATCTTCTCAGCAAGATCTAACCAGACAGTTCAGCTGGAAAGATGAGCACAATGACGTGACTAAGAAACTCTGGAAAACAACTGGACAGTTTACCTGTATGCCTTTTCAAACAGATGCTTATTTAAAAATATTACAGGCAGTATCACCAAGTGTTCAGATTACCACTCTCTTCTAGAAATTAAGTGGATATACATTTTATTCATATACAGGAATACAAGTAGCACAACAAATACCTACACGAAAACAAGACACTAATGACAGTTTCTCATTAATAAATAGTTTGTTAACATGAAGGCCAGGAGAAAGCATGGTTAAAAGTCCACGACACTCTCGGAAACCATGAGCACTTTCATATAAGCCACTAAAGCATTCAGGAGAGAAAAATGCTTTCAGATGTTCCATTTTTGAAGTGTAATACAAGTATGTAAGATACCCTGCAGAATACAAGAGCATGTGTTTTCACAAAAGCTGTGATTATGAGATTGTGAAAGCAGCTTGTTATTAAAACAAATATAATAGATTCCTGGTAATGCACTGCCATCTCTATTTTAGGGCACATTATTTAGGTAACCTCAAGGAAGTAACTGTATAATTTATACTATCCCTTCCCCCTGATTGGTTTAATTCAGAAGCTTTGCTGCAGGCAAGTCCTTGTGCCTCTTGTTGCATCTTTCACAGGAAAAAATAACATACTGCATTACATAAAAGATCTTTTATAATGTACTTTTAAATATTAAAATCATAAACTGCTAATCTAGACCACATCTAATCATAAATTATCGGGGTTTGCTCAGGCAACACAGCATATCATACCACACAATCAGATATAAACTGATTGTACCATATCTAGAACCAAATATGGGCAATATCCACAACCAAAAGGGGAAACAGCTAGAGAGGAACTTAGTGAGATTAAAACAGGCATGGACTTGTTTTGTGCACCTTTAAAAGAGAAAACATAGTTTACTAGATTTACCAAGAACAGTATGTTTAAGGCAAACCACAAGTGGGGGAAGATAAGAAAAAACCTGCAGTGCTGGCAAAATCAGAGAGCCAAAACTAATTAGTATCCTTCTCTACCTAATTAAAAGGAAAAAAACTTTGATGAACAGTAAAAGACTTTTTCTACTATCCACATCTCATGTGTGCCCCCCACTTCTTTCCTCCCTCCCTCCCCCTTTTTTTGGTTGGTCAGTTTTGGGGTTTTTTGTTTTTTTTTTTTTTTTCTTTGTGGGTGGGTAAAACAGCTGCCTTTGGTAGAGGTGCTCTTGAGAGCACTAACCACATAAAGAACACTACTATGAATGAAGCATCACCCCACTGCCTTCAGGGATGAATCCCGGACTCCCCAGGATGCTGTAACCTCAAGGTCTCCTCTTTCAAGAGCGAAGTTTCTGCATTCATTTCTCAATCGGCCTGCAGAGCTGCATTTTCCACATAAATTGTCCTGCCATTAAACCAACAGGCTTGTCATTTGAAGCAGCAACTTACACCTGCACTGGGCAATGCACAAACCTTCAGGTTCTTCCTCTATTTCAAGGAAGTGGCAAAAGCAGCACCACCAAGCACCCTGGTGCTGTGTCAGGAGGCCGGTGGCTTGCACAACACTCATGTCCTAAAATTGCTCTTCCACACGAGACAGTTAAAAGGCTTTGCTGTGTGGCCTGCATTTGCCAGTTGCTTTTTCATTTTTATTCAGACAATGAAGTGCCATTATTAAAAGAACAGTTCTGTGTATTAAACAAATAGAAAGCCTATGACACAGAACACTTGATACAGTTTTTAGTACAATTTCTCAAGCAACACATAGGAATATGGCTCAGAGGCTTCACACTGAGGTCTTCAATGATTTTGGTATTATAAACAGAACTACTCCAGGTGAAACTGCAGTTCATGTATATATGTGCTAAGCCAATACTGAAAGCCCACAACCAACATACTGCCACATAACTCAGGCAGCACACTAGTTAAGTTTAAAACTAACATGATATGAAAGCACAATGAGGGGTTTTCTTCTGAATGCTTAGTATTTCCAAACTCAATATACCTATTTCTGGTTTTCAAGGGAAAGCCAGAACTTTTGTCCTGAACAACAAACAAGACATCTAACTGTCCTGCTAACCAAGCCTCCAGCCATTTTCACTCCCTGTTGCTCTCTTCTGAGAGATTTTTGGGGGAGAATTGCAAGATTTTTAAAAGGCACCTGTAAGTTACTGCTTTCAGCAAAGCATAAAAACTGCAAAGCCATTAGTCTAACTACAACACACAGCTTAGCTCATAAGTATGTCTTTCAGGGATACAACTTTCTTATCAGGAACTATTTTAAATAACCACATAGCATACAATACTTCCTCATACCTCAAGCCACGCAATGAGGTATGTTGTTTTGTCTACAATAATGCTCAGTTCAACACCACCCAACCTCACCAAGGCTAATTTGGTGAAGAATTACTCATTTATTGATGAGAAAAACAGCTTTTAGAAAGCTCAAAGTTTCCTGAAATTAACTTCAGTGTACTTCCTACATTCAGCGTTGGCAGGATGGTCAATGCTCTCCCCACCTCAGCTTAGGAAGGAGAACCCTGCTGAGAGGCAGGTCCCACTAGATGCCTCTGTAGAGCTCCCAGGCCTGCACCACCTTGCAGCTTCACTTCAGATGACTGTTTTAAGTTCAAGACATCATTCTGCAAAAACCTTTAACAGTTTCAAGTCAAAAAGCATATTAATTTAACTTTCAATTTACCAAACCCACTACTCATTACTAATGTATAAATCTGAATAGATAGAACATTACATAGGAAAAAATAGTTTGACCACTTCCATAGCTGTCTTCCCAAAACCAGACATATATAGTTAAAGAAAACTTAAATTTATGCTAAACACTAAGTAGCTCTGTATGTATGTGAGGACTTCCACCTAGAAGTTCACTCCCTGAGCTTCATTTTTGTAGTAACAACTTCTGAGTGCTTATAAACATGGAATTAAATCTACCAAGAGACTCCTTGTCTTCTCACTATCAGAATCACAAGAACACGTCCTTCAGCATGCCCATGCATGCACACACAAAATGCCTTATACTCAAAACATTTCAACATTCATTTGCTCTTTGATACGGATTTCAGACTTTTTCACGTTGCCTTCTCCCACTAAGAACAGTGAAGGACTCTTGCTAGAAAAGTGATAAAGAAAAATTACAAAGCAGAAATAGTTCTATGATGCTACAACTTGAATGAAAATTGTACAACCTGTTAAACACTATGACAACTTTATGAACATAAGGACCTCTCCCTGAGCTCACTAATGCTCTGTATTTTAATATTTTTAGAAATCTGCCATATTTAAGTTCAGTCTCACAAAAAAGTCTGCTAGCACTAAATCCTTGCAAATTGATAAGGAAAGAGTTTTATGAAGGCTGGACAGTTTCCAGGATCAACACACAACATTCTTCAAATAGGAACTGTACACACAGCTTTTTCAGAAGACAGATTTTATACTAACACAGTAGGAAGCAGATATGTGCCTTTTAATGAAACAACCTGTTAATCATTCATGAATGAACAGTCAACATTTTCAACAAAGGCTGCAGATATGCTATCAGGCCTCAGAACACTTGCACTCAATGCAAAGAAAATCAAACTTACTATACTTTTCATTACCAAAATGCATTTCAGCTTCTTAGAGAACACCTTAAATTTTAATGTTACATTATACAAATGGCTTTTTTCAGGTGGTGGTATTTAAGTGTTCAAAATCAAAGCAAAATTAAAGAAAAAAAAGATTCAGTGCACTCTAACAGGGTAAGACTGCATTTCTGGGAGAAACAACAACTACAGATCTCTTCCCTATCCACCACCTAAAAATGCTTTTGGTTTATTTTCATGCAATGAGAACATACTGCATCGAGGATGACAGCAATTAAAAGACAGAAAACAAAGTTCCCTTGAAACTGGCAATTACCTTTTTCCTCTTACAGCACTTAATCTAAGACAAAAACTTCCGGAACATAAGAACTGCTTAAAACGACTGCAATGCTAGCCTGCAAAACATGACCTACCACACTATTTTCCCTCCTTTACAAATAAATTGCTTTAGTTGTTGTGCCCCTATTTGCAGCTTTTCTCAGTGGTATGAACTAGAAATAAAAAGCTTCCATTTCAGCAGCAGCATTTGAATTACCGAAACTAACTACTAAAAATGGAAAAAAAATTAATAAGCAAATGTCATCTTAATACTCTTTATGAAGTTACAAGCAACAGATTGTCCATACTCATGTGAAAGAACATTATTACACTGAAAGAAAACAAGGGAATACCGGCTCTTCACAGCAGCAAGCCGAAGAGAAAGGAGAACAGACACATCCTGAGACAGGGAACAAAGCATCCCAGTTCCCTCAACAACCAAGCTTCTTGCCAAGGAATTGCCACTGTCCTTTTAGGAAGGCCTGGGACTTCAGTACCAGCTTTATTCAACAGGAATGATATTAAACAAAAAAAACAACAACAAAAAA